AGAGCAGCATGCAGTCAGAAACAAAAGATGCCGATAGTGATCTGCAGTCAGGACAGTTCATTGTCGAGCCTACTTGTGTAACCCCCTCTCTCTCTAGCTCCACGGTGATGCCCAATGATTCTTCTCTGAATAAACCTGAGGTAAGTATTGTGGATGATTATGTAACTAATGCAAGTACTGATGTCAATACCTTTAAGTTGCCACCTAGACAAAATCGAGGTGTGCCACCTGACAGGTTTTCTCCGGAAGGCAAAGTAAAGTATCCGATAGCCAACTATGTCTCATGCAATGGTCTTGCACCAGAGCGTAAGACCTTGATAGACAATATGGAGGCTATTCGAGTACCAACTCGTGTGGATGAGGCTCTAAAGGATCCAAAGTGGGCAAACGCAATGGATGAAGAAATGTTGGCGTTACAGAAGAATAATACCTGGGAGGTGACGTCCTTGCCGGAGGGAAAAAAAATAGTTGGATGCCGGTGGGTGTTTACTGTCAAATACAAAGCCGATGGATCAATAGACAGGTACAAAGCAAGGTTGGTAGCTAAAGGATACACCCAAACATATGGTGTAGATTATCAAGAGATGTTTTCTCCGGTTGCCAAGATGAATACGGTACGTGTTCTGATATCTTTAGACGCTAATATGGACTGGCCATTAAAACAGTTTGATGTGAAAAACGCTTTTCTCCATGGGAACTTGGAGGAAGAAGTATATATGGATTTTCCTCCTGGGTACAGTGCTGGTAGAAGTACCGAAGTATGCCGGTTGCGTAAGTCTCTTTATGGGCTGAAGCAATCGCCTCGTGCATGGTTTGATAGGTTTACTCAAGTTATGAAAAAGATTGGGTATTATCAGAGTCATTCTGATCATACATTGTTCGTTAAACGGAGACAGAAAAAAGTGACAGCCTTAATCATCTATATAGATGACATGATCATTACTGGAGATGATTGTGATGAGATTTCAAGATTACAGAAGAATCTTGCGGCTGAGTTTGAAATGAAGAACCTGGGGGATTTGAAATATTTTCTTGGAGTTGAAGTTGCTCGATCTTCGAAAGGTATTTTCTTGTCACAACGTAAGTATGTTTTGGATTTGCTAAAAGAAACTGGTATGCTGGGATGCAAGCCAGTAGATACACCTATTGTTGAAAAACATCATCTATGTGTGGATCCGAATCAGAAATCAGTTGATAAGGGGAGATATCAGAGACTTGTAGGGAGACTAATTTATTTGGCTCATACACGGCCTGATATTGCCTATGCAGTAAGTGTAGTAAGTCAATTTATGCATTCACCAAGTCTAGATCATATGGCTGCTGTTATGCGTATCTTAGCATATTTAAAGTCTGCACCTGGGAAAGGAGTTCTATATCGGAAGTATGGACATTTGAGAATTGAGGGGTTCACGGATGCTGATTGGGCAGGGAGTCTAGGTGATAGACGGTCTACTTCGGGATACTTTACTTTTGTAGGAGGAAATTTGGTTACATGGAGAAGTAAAAAACAGAAGGTAGTATCAAGATCCTCGGCTGAGGCCGAGTATCGAGGGATGGCTCACGGCATTTGTGAGATTCTCTGGCTTCGAAAGCTTCTTGAGGGGCTTGGGTTCAAGCCAAAGGAAACCATGAGACTATACTATGATAATAAGTCAGCAAGAGATATAGCTGATAATCCGGTACAGCATGATAGGACAAAACATGTGGAAGTTGATCGACATTTTATTAAAGAGAAGCTTGAAAGGAAGATTGTGTCAATACCTTTTGTGAAGTCAAAGGAGCAACTTGCAGACGTTCTAACTCATGCAGTATGTAGTCGAAGGTTTGATGACTCGCTTGTCAAGTTGGGCATGTGTGATATCTATGCACCAACTTGAGGGGGAGTGTTAGCGTGAGTCAATATTAGGAAAAATAGGGAATGTTAATAATAGGAGTCCTTTATTAAGTAGGTTTGTGTATATGTTTTTTGTTTCCTTGTAAAACTATGATAGCACATGTATATATTTCTAAACAAGTAATAGAAGATTTAATTCCCATAAAAGTTTTATTATTCCCAACACCAGACTCCCTGCAGTCTGCATTCTCCAGCATAACCTTAGCGTTATCACGGAGGCTATGGATGAACAGGTAACATAGCACACCTACAGATCCTACCGCCTACAAAAGCATCAACCGCATATTCCCTCGTTTGGTACACATGATTGGATTAGAATGGATAAGACAGGACGATGATTAATCAAGAAAAAAAAGTTATCCATTCCAATACTCCCTAAAATGGGAGGATTGGATGGGAGAAATTTTCTTCATGTCTAATCCTCTCACAATGAAAAATCACTTTCATCTTACCTTCCATATGCCTTGAATTTCGAGAGTCCCTTCCAATCCAATCATTTTTACCAAATGAGCCCTATCTAGGTCCATTTCTTAGATGATTAACGAAAACACCTATAATAAATTCTTCTAGCTGCCTAGAGTGGGATCCAACTAATTTCAGAAAATACAAGCACAAAACTAGCAGAGCAAGCATGCATTCAGATGATTATTGAAGTTGAATGCTGTTAAAGTCCCACATCAGTGGGTTCAAAGAAACCCAATGGGTTTAAATAGGATTACCCTACTCTAACTAATATCGAGGTCTTTTGTAGTAAAATCTCACACCTGATGGATTGACAGGTGGTTAAGTTGGGGACAGTATTGGTGTCGTTAGAGTAGGGCGGACCCGGCGATCCAAAAATTCAACAAATGCAATAAATTACCAACCACTCAATAAGCTCAAAAGAGACTGGCTTTACTTGTGATTGTATGTCTTACATTTATTAATATACACTTAAATGGGTGGCTGCTGGGGCACTCACGAATATAGCACTCGTTTGGTGTCTAGGATTGGATTGGAATGAATAATCCACTATATTGCAAGGTATTTGAAGCAAGAAATGAAAAAAAATGGGTCCAGCTTGACGGATTACACGCATTAGGGAGGAAACTTATCCATTCCAATCCCTCACAAAATGGTAGGATTAAAGGGGATAGGTTTCCATAATGTTTAATCCACTTCAAATCCCCTCAAAAGAATCATCTACCTGTACCTTCAATACACCTCGAATATACTAAGTTATCCAATCCAATCCAATTCTAGAGACCAAACAAGACCCATGATGTATTATTACAAAAGACATGAAACTAGCATACGTTCCAACTGAAAGTCCTACATTAACAGTGTGAGAAGAAACAGTCCTAAAACCATGTTCCGTTCTCCCACGACGCATTCAATGTACTTGTAAAACTCAAACAACCCAAATGAAACGAGCATACATTTTGAGCAGCAACCGCAATCACTCTATACAACACCAGAAAATTCAAGGTAGCAAATGAAACAAGACGATGATTTACAACAAAACATATCATCAACAATGGCAACCCGCAACTTTCAGAATGTTCTATAACCGACACCATAATGTCGGAAATCGGAATTCAGGGATGCCCGCGTTTGGTTTCTAATTTAAACGGGATAACCAAAAGAAAACAAAAATAAAACAATGCACCAGCCGGGAATCGAACCCGGGTCTGTACCGTGGCAGGGTACTATTCTACCACTAGACCACTGGTGCTTGTTGAAAGCCATCTCTAAGGTTTCCAATAAGACCAAATATTTCTATTTAGCTTTAGGTGAATAATAGCTCGATGATTATTTCATTTTCTCTTCTTCAATTAAGGTGATAAATTCAATAACAAAAATTAAGGTGAATGAAAACAATTTATCTCACCAATTAAGGTCAATACCACTTGTTCAAATTTCTCGCCATTCATCTTAAAATCACAAAATGTCGATTGACTTAATGCTAGTGTTGAAAATATTTTCTAACCACAAATACATTACTCCTTCAAATAAAATCACATTGAATTTTTTTACCAATGTCGTTCTAAACATATGTGCAAGGACCAGTTTGTATTTAAAACTCGCTAAGGGTTATGGTAATACACTTAGGCCCTGTTTGGTAGATCGGATAGGATTAGTTATATGGACCTGGGTGTTTGGCGTTCACTCGTACTAAATAAGCACCGGATTAATTTAACCGGTCGGATAGGATAATACGGTATACACCCGCTTAATAAAACCAACCAAAACGTCCGGATTATTTAGTCGGGGAAGAAGAATATGGGAGAGAAAGGGAGGGAGTTTGGGGGGTGTGGCGGAGAGAGCTGGGGAACAATTATTTGGGATTCTTCTATCGTCGGGGAAGAAGAAGGGAGAGAGAGGGAGGGTGTTTGGGGGGTGCGGAGAGACCTGGGAACAAAAAAATGATTTCATTTTTTAAAATTTTTTTTTTTTAAAGTTTGATGCCTTCTATCTAGTATAATATCAAACACAGTATAAATAATACGGTCACTAGTCCGATACTGCACCAAACATCCGACTAATTTAGTCAGTACTATCCGGTGGCTATTTATCCTATCCGACAGAAATAGTCAGTACAGTCCGAGCTGCCAAACGAGGCCTTAGGGGCATGTTGGATACATGTGCCTAACTCAATATCTAATGGTAGCATAGGTGATTTGGTTAGTATACTTCTTTTTTCTTTTTTCTTTCTATGTTTCTTTTCTTTGTGTTTATTCAAGTGGTATCTAATCTAATTGAAACTATACCAAATAAGAATCGAACTAGCTAGTCTGTAAAGGAAAGCACATTTAACTACACATTTTTCCTTAAGCAACAAAAATTAGAGATAGGAAGAGAGAGCATTTGACCGAAATTGAGAATGAATTCGAAATGAACTTAGCCCTCATGCATATGTGATTAGAGTATGATCAATACTCATCCTTTTGACATGACTCTAACATCTAAATTTGATTCTCCTTCCTCAAATCTAAACTTAAAAATCTCTCATTTCCCAGCCATTGAACGGTGATTTAAGTTTCCGGAACGCTAAATCCTAAAACCTAAACCTTAAACCCTAAACCCTAAATATTTAGTGTTCTTAGTCATATAGACAAAGGGCAGGATGAGGGTGATCATTACTTCATGGGGACACAAATTTATCATGGAAGTGAATGTCAAGGAACCAGTTGTTGAAATCAAAAGGAAGATAGAACAAGTGTTGGGTGTCCCTTTGGCTTCCCAAACCCTTGCAGTGTGTGGCTGGGAGTTAATAGATGGATTAGACATGGAAGATTACCCAATTGTCACTGAAGGTACTACCATTGACCTCACCATCAAATGGACTGGATTCGGAACTCCTTTGAATTTATACCATAATTCTAGTGGTAAAATTCAAATTACCATCAAGTTTTCCGCAAGGCAGCTTCCCATGGAGGTTGATGCATCCGAAACAGTCTGTAGCCTTAAAGAAAAAATACATATCATGGACGGTACCCCGATCAAGAGGATGTCGCTCTTCTTCTGTGGAATTGAGTTAGACGAAGATTTTCGCAATCTAAGTGAGTACGGGATACATTCATTTTCGGAGATTGTTGTGTTCCTCAAGGCTATGAGTCGTCCGAGAGATGAGCCGACGGCAAGAAGGTTGAGTGTAGTGCTACAAACATCGTCAAGTTTACTCAACGCGGCAACGATTCCGTTGGAAGTGAAGGATTTGAGCACGGTTAATGAGTTGAGGCAATTGCTTTTGAGCAGGAAAATTCTGCCAATGGATGATTACTTGTTTATACACAAGCAGAGGATCATGCGTGACAATTGCAGCCTCAGGTGGCATGGTGTTGGTGATGGAGATTTCCTATATGTGTTTAAAGGGACCATTTGTCACAGCGAATGCTGAAATGCAAAAACATATAGTTTTAGGCCGCGTTTGGTATTGCTTGTTTTCACTGAAAATTGATTCACTTTAAAACAGTCACACGGAAAACATAACAAGAGGGGTTCGTTATATGGTAATTTACTAGAAGTTGAACTCAAATCTGTTAGCTTGTCTTATACATAAATTAGGGGGAAAATGAATAAGTGATTTTGTATTAATTAAAGAAAGAATACAAACAAGTCCTAATGTGTGTTGGAGCACAAAAAAAAGGAGAAAAAACATATCAAAGAGAGCTCAAATTAATCATCTACCAACTCTAATGATATCTGATCCAGACAAAGATGATGTAGAAGATAAAGAAATTTTCATGTCTTCAAATGTAGGGTGTCCCTGCCCTCCCATGTTCCACCGATAAGTCGACCACATCGAAGTTGTTCTAATCTTGTGCAGCAAATTTACATGCATTCCTTCTCCTTGAGACGGATCGCCATCAATGCCATCATCATCACTTGCTCCTTCAAGCACCTTCATAACTTGCCTCATTGTTGGCCTCCCATGAGCTTCAGGATATGCACACAACAATCCCAAATGAAGCAACCTCTCGACGTCCTCCACACTGTATCCACCCTTTGCCTTGAGCCGATCATCAAGCGCTACGTTCAACCTTCCCTTCTCCATTAGCCTCCAACACCAATCAACCAACCCCAGCTTCCCATCCTCTATCGGTCTCCGCCCACACACCACCTCTAGTACCAATATCCCAAAACCAAACACATCAACCTCAGTTGAGGCTCTTCCAGTTCGAACCACTTCGGGCGCCATGTACCCTGCCGTCCCAACCACTTGTGTTGTGCCCGTCATTTCCCCGTGTAGGTGCATTCGGGCCAATCCGAAATCTCCTAACCTAGCATTCATATCCTTATCAAGTAGCACATTGCTTGATTTGATATCTCTATGCAAAACCTTAGCTTCCCAACCCTCGTGCAAATACAAAATCCCACTAGCAACATCTTTCAACACCTTAATTCTCTCTTCCCAACTCAACAAGTTTCTCTCATTGCACTCAAATATCCTCTTATCCAAGCTACCATTTTCCATGTAATCATAAACCAAGATTAGACTGCCCTTTTCTCTCTTGCACCAACCTCTCAGTCCTACCAAATTCCTATGCTTCAGTCTTCCCAAGCTCGAAACCTCTGCCACGAACTCTTTCAAGCCACGTTCACTTTCAAGTGGAATTCTTTTCACTGCTACTTCTGCTCCTCCTAGTACCCCTTTATAAACCTTCCCATGCCCTCCAATCCCAATCACTTTCTTCTCCGAAAATCCCTCTGTCGCGGTATGTATCTCTTTGTAATCAATCCGGTGAGGCCAGTACTCCAATTCCCAATCTTCAACTTTCTGTACATCCTCCTCTCCTTTCATTCGCTTTCTCCTCTTCCTCCTCACCAAAATCAAACACACCAAAACCACACACCAAGCAACCAAAAACCCGCCAACACTAACTCCCACAACAAACCCTTTTACTCCGAAAACAGACTTGTTCTCTGACACCACGAAGGAAGGCAAATTCTGAGTGACCAAATCGTTGCCGATGGAGAAATTAGAATTGCTAAAGCTCCAAGCCAATATGCTATGGCTCTCGACCAATGCTCCAGTTGCCGCGCAAAACCCCACATACATTTCATCCAAAAGCACCCGGGACAGATCCACCACCTCACTTATCAGCGGCCTCCGCGGCTTTGCCACGCCGGCACGAGCCATGGTCACGTTAATTCTCGAGCCCATAAAATCAATCCACACTTGATAGTTAATTCCATTGTTGAGCTTCAACTCGTTGAAATCTTGATCAAGTCCGCCACTCCAATACCCTGCGGTGCTCGAAGCATTAGACGTAAGGGAGTTGATGTCCAAACCAACATGGTTGTCATCAGGATCCTGGAACTCTTGGTTTTCGAAGACATCAAACTCGACACCGAAGATGTTGTTGTTGGGGTCGCCGTTGTTGGAGAAGTTGAAAAAACCCAAGTGCTGCGCGGAGCTTGCACCGCTTAAGCCAGAGAAGGGTGAGAAGAGGAAGGCAAAACCGTGGCCGGGAAGGAGGTTTTTGACGGGAGCAAGGGAGAAAATAAAAGAGGTGGAGAAAGGAAGTGCCTCTGAAGAGTTGGCGTATTTGGTGGGGATTTTGTGAGAGTAGAAAGCGCGTCCCAGTGAGAAGGTGGTGGAGTCATTGGTGAGGCTGAGGATGGAGGATTGGATGGTGGCGCTGCCGTAGAGGCTGAGGTTGCTGCTAGAGTTGAAGTTGGTGTTGAAGACGAACTCAGTGGTGGCGCCGCCGAAAGTTGGGAATGTTGTGATCAGAAAAATGGTCCAAGTGGTAATCAGGAAGACAGAGAGGATCGTCGGAGCAGGAGACATTAGAGAAGGGCAATGATTGATTTTTGGAGAAGAAGAACAATTATATCGGATTCAATAATTCTAGTGGACTTTAGACGAACCAAAAAAAAAAACATGTTTTTTCGTCTGTTTGAAAGTCGTCGTGGTTATGGCCGCCGTTTTAAGTCTTGTGTAGGTTATTTGACTTCACATTTCTTAATCATATGAGAAAATTGAACGAGTGTTTCCCCCTTATCCTAGATCCTAAGGTCTAAAGAAATTGGAATCATCTCCTATTCGATCTTAATCCAATGGTGCAAAAGAAAGTAAAACAACAAAAGTTGAATGAATATTTATTCTCCTCCGCTGCTAGATAAGATCTAAGAGAATAAAATAGCTCGAAAGATATTAACGCACTACTTTTGTTCAACGATGTCAACGCTAAAAATTTATTACAATTTTAATTTGTTCGGCTATGTTAATGATTAGAGAAATTAAATTAAAGAGGAAATGAATTAAAAAGTTGAATTAGGTTTGAGTCAAAATGGGACTTCTAAACAAGGACAAGAATTGTCTGCCCTCCCGTGCCCTCCTGTTTGTGTGGTCACGGTTAAGTCACGTTAACATTTTATATTACTATTATTTTTGTCTTATTATCTTTATAAAAAAAAACAATATAAAATATTAATATGACTTAGTCGTGAACAAACAAATCAGAAGGGCACTAAGTGGAAGAGTAAACAATCCTTGACCTCTAAACAAAGACAGGTCAAATATGTTTAACACGGTTGTGGTCGTAGATAGAGGCTGCCCACAGCTTCGGGTGGAATGTATTTGAACATGTCCTTGTTGACTGTCATGCCAAATGCCCACAGCTTCGGGTGGAATGTATTTGAACATGTCCTTGTCGACTGTCATGCCAAATCTGACGGCTGGCAAAGAAAATATCCCGTTAGGATTTCAAATCTACATTTTTCTCCTTGTAGCTCGAAATGGTACAATTTTTAGGCTTATTTTAGGCTATTTATTCTACGTGAAATCTAATTTTAATTTCTACGCTTTGTTTTGTCTCAATGTGATCCATGCACTCATTATTTATGTTTTTCTTCACTTTGGATTTTTCAACCCGTTTTCACATTTAGGATATCTGAAACAACGATTATCACCATAGCAAGGTAAAAAAATTAAAACAAAACGCTCGCGAAAATTACTCAAAGTCTCTCGTTCGCAACACTAATAAAAGACTTTAATTTCTAAAAAATCGTTGTTAAAACTCAGTTTTTATAATATATCCTTGTATTCACAGCTAAAAAACTAAAGAATCCCTGTCATGTCAGCGAAACTACGGTTTCTCTCAACTCAATTGAGAGAATGAGGGTAACGTGCGACATGGCGATAAGATAACGTAGGACATGGAGGATAAGTATAGTGGATAAAGTGAGACAAAACAAAATAAGAACATTAACATGAAATAATCACTGGAAGAACATACCACACTATCAAATACTTCAGATTTCTTATTTTCCTTGTTTAAAACATGTTATAAATATAAACTGTTCATTCATATATGTTGTCATACGAGTGGCAGAAGTGCACCTCACCTTTCGGAAGTGTTAAGAGTATTCAACCCGTGTTCACCCCATTATGAAGAACAGCAAACACTCACATAAGTTGCAACGAAGCGAAGAAAATGGAGACACTAACTTACGTTAGCAAGAATTATTTTTCAACTGTATGTACGACAAATAAATTTGGTGCATTCATCCTCAAATGGCTACGAGAGGGACTTGGACATAAAGTATGTTCTAATGAAAAATCCACTTCTTCAAAATTAGCCATCTGATGGCTCATTTACTAACGAGTAAAATAGTATGGGACCGAAGAAAGTACTCACTGTACAGCGAAGGGCGTAGCTTGATCTCTCTCTCTTTGTATTGTGTATCTGTATCAGTGTGTGTGTTATGACGACGTCAACGGGTTCCAGGGATCCCGCTCCAAGACAACCAGGAATACAAATGTTTAATTTCATAGCTTATCCAGCTCGATGTCTAGAGGATAAGGTTGAATTTTCTGTCACTTGCGTCCCATGTCTGCTCTTCTCCAGTCGAGCACGCCGGGCGTGTTCTTGGATCCGGCGGTCATGGTCTTTAAGCATCTGATCCATATTGTTTGAAGAAATAAGTAATGGACCAGACACGTAAATTTTGTTCCCCTTGGGGCCATGACCATGCTGCAAAAAGAATTTTGAAGAAGAATTTAGGTTCAGCTAACTAGGATAAGTATATCAGTGAATGACTGGCAGGATCCAGAGTATGCAATAGTTGTGACATAAACTGACAATTTTACTGCGAAAAACGAAACTAACCATATTTGGTTCTTTAATAGAGCCATTCTCATCTTCCATCTGACGAGAACTGGCAACTCTCTGTGTGTAATACATCCGCTCCCGCTTCTTTGCGGATTCCTCCTGATCAAGTGACCCTGGAAATCCGCCTACTGGCTTCATTGTTTCTTGTCCTGAGGGGCCAGGTTTTTCTTGTTGGTCGTCGGACAACACAGTCCTAGCCATTACTAAACCAGATAATTTCGACAAGTTGGCTCTATTTGAACTCAAAAAGGAATCATTAAGTTCCTTTCCAGACTTAGCCCATCCAGGTCCATGGATTAGTGGTCCTGAAATTGAAGTCCTCTTATTCTGGTGCTCCGTGAAATCTTTTCTAGCATCTTTATCGCTTGGCAAATGTTTGGTTGGATCAACCAGAAACCCAGAAAGAGTTTTTTCCCTATGCGGGTTGAACATTTCACTTCGGACCCTTGGGTTGGAATGGCCTTGTCTTCTCTGTAATTGGAGGGCAAATGTCATCATAAAGAAATAAACAGAGGCAGAAGAAGCATTTTTATAAGAATCACAATGTATGTGAACAGAGAGCAGAGAATTCAGTTATCAAAATAAAGACCTAAATATGAACAAGTTTGACATGCACGTGAATATGTTTAGTTATCAAAAGCAAAATTGCAAAACATATTCGCAAGCATTTCTTCACAAGTTCGACAAAAACGTAAATCCAAAATATTTTGTAAGAACCTTCCCCTAATATTAACACACAATATCGAAACACATTTCATAAATTCCTCCTCCTCCAAACAGATATGAACTACTTGATTCTAAAGTGAATCTAGAAAGTTAATACCTTATAGCCACCAATGTGATGATGTACATAAAATTAAATTAAAAACAAAAACAATTCTAAATATTCTTTTAAAGATTTAGCTTTGTGGATTTAATCTCACCTCCCTCTCTCCTCTTAGCATATATACATAAAAGAAAAACTATAAACCAAACATATGAAGTTATAAACATCATGAAACGGGGCCTAACTTATCTGAGTCATGGGGAAAGTAAAAGATACTCAAAACAAAAGACGAGCCAACCAGCAGTGTTGAAATTACGATAGATTTTCATCCAAGAGGCTTGAACCAGTAGATTATAGTATGACATAACAGCAGAGTATAGAAGTTTCAAATAAATCCATAAATTTCCAAAATATGGTCATTTTCAAATATCCTTTTATATACAGAATTACAATTACAATTTTCACCCGAACTTATAAATAACTTTAGTCTCTGGCAGCTCATTTCAATGTCAAACAAAATCCAACTTTAAACACGAAGATATAAAACTTATTTTTAGTTACCTGCACTGACGCAATGGACTCGGAGTTAGCATTTGTTCCTGCAACTGCCGGAGGTTGTGCTCTCCTGCCAAGGTCTTCCTTCTGACCCCTTCCTCCACTGGCTCCTTGCCTAAAAAAAAAAAATCATAAAGATTAACCTTGTATCATCTTTGTCCGAAAAGTATTAATGTGTTACCAATAAGACGTACTTTCTAGCTTCTTCTTCTCGCAATTTGGCATCAATCTCTTTGCTGGGGGGGTACTTGGGCAAACTTGAAGGATCACAAGGAAAAGGCTTTGTGGTGAAGAACTGTTGAAAGAACATTCATTATTACAACAGAGAAAGGAATTCATAGGCCTCTTATATGATTAAATGAAACAGATTCAAGGTTTTAAAGGAAAAGGAACAATCGTAAGGACAGTTTCTGAAAGATAATTTAATTCTGTTCCACACATCCTTCTCCCAGCCTAATAAGGTACAAAAACTTTCAGGAATACATAGAATATGAATATATATATATATATATAAAACGGCACTGGTTCCATTTTATGTATTTCCTTTTTGCAGTTTCCAGAAAATAAGTTGCGCACACCTCATTCTTGAGGGCAATTGCAGCAGTTCCTCGATCAGCAGGATCAACAGAAAGTAAAATGTCCATAAGCTGCAGAGCTGCAGCAGGAAGGTCCTTAAAAGTCTCTGCCACGCATCTTCTATAAGGTTGAGGAGGCTTGATCATTGTTGAATTTCGTAAGTGCAATTTAAGCCAATAATCCTCAGATGGTGAGCCACAGAGCTTGAAAATTTTATGCAATTGTTCAACCTATAATAAAAAAATACACATAAATTAATAGGCACCATCTGAATATATACAAAGAAATTTCACGTTAAGTCAAACAAATAGCGAGGAGAAATGTAGCTGTGAAGAACAAGCAGTGTCGCCAATGCCTTACTCTAAGTCCACAGAATATGTCAAACACGTGCCAAGGACATAATATTGCTACTCAAATCCATGGTTCATACAAATCCTCGAGATACATCAAGACCGCACTCTAGCTATTCTCTCACATTATGTGTTTAAGATTTAGAAACTCAAAATATTATAAGCAAATAAACATAATTATGTCATGAATTAAGCTTTTACAATAAAAGAATTGGGCATAATTAGTCAAATACTCAAATATCATCTGCAATTTTAAAATAAAAATCAAGAACTCAGAGAGATCCTCTTTCTCAGTTCTTTATTATTTTAGGATAATGTAATCCGTAATAATTTCACAAAGACATGTCAAAGCCAATAATGATCCAACCTGGACCGTAAGGGCATCAACAATGCATGGATTCTAAGGGGTAAAACTCCTCAATGTCTTACCTCTGTTTTTCCTGGCAGGATGGGCTTTCCAGAATACAATTCTCCTAGTATGCAACCTGTGCTCCATAAATCCACAGCAACACCATATTTAGTGGCTCCAAGTAAAAGCTCTGGAGGCCGATACCAAAGAGTCACAACACGGCTTGTCAATGGAACACTGTGACGAGGATCATAATTGCTTGCCAAGCCAAAGTCAGCTATTTTCAAGATGCCATTGTTGTCAACAAGAAGATTTGACCCCTTTATGTCACGATGCAAAACACCATGGCTATGACAGTGATCAAGACCACTTAAAAGTTGCTGCATGTAACATTTGACCTAAAATGAAATAAAAGTAACACTAGAATTAGGAATCTTACAGGGGCATTGTTTCCATTCTGTAAAAATGGGCTATTTTATTTGCATAGATGTACGGTAGAGAGGTACATTAACAAATGTAAGAGAAGTGTAAAAGCGATATAACTACCTGAGGTTCGGAGAACTTAATGCCTGGGCGTGATGCAAGCCCTGTAAGATCATGTTCCATATACTCAAAAATAAGGTACAAACTGCTAGATGACCGTGCTGTGATCAATCCTTGCAACTTTATTATATTAGGGTGATCAAGCCTGCGCAAGAAAAGAATTTCTCTTGCCATAAACTTGACACTCTCAGAATCGAGATTATCAAATCTGACTTTTTTGAGAGCAACAAATTTATCCTTCATGACATCGCGAGCCTTGTAAACACTACTATAAGTTCCTTGGCCAATCTGAAAGAGGGAGATGCCAAAACATGCAAAAAGAGAAAAGAATCAGGAACTGCACTATTAACATGAACAAGAGTAATTAACTGCACAACCATGGTAGCTTGAAAAAAATTGTCATATCATGTAGAAAACCGCCCAATTTTCTTTTCTCGAATCATTGTGAGTTTATTCCCTATCCGTGAACAATAGCATTAGTTATACTAATACAATAACATAAGAGATACATCATGTACTGTATCAGGTAAAGAATTGAACGTACTTTATTTAACTTCTCGAACGTGTCAGCGCGTTGTGGTATCCATCCATTGATAGCTTCAGGGGCAGCTGCAGCGAGCCAACCTGGCCATCCTGCCGCTAATTGCTCGGCCACTGTGGCGTTGGGAATTCTTCTCGAACCCGGATGATCAAGAAGAGCAACCTCAGCCTTGTCCATCTTCTTACTCTTAGTCTGATCATATGATCGGATTGAACCATTGACTTTCTTATCCACCAACATAATTTTGACATCACCACCACCACCCAATCTATCTTTAGTCCAAACTGGCTCCTCTCTTTTCGAAGAATTGAACCGCGAAACCTTCAGCTCAGAGTGGTGCCTACTTGATTTCGAAGCTGCCCTTTTTGGTGGGCTTTCCCGGCTATCTTCGACGGCCGAAGCCTTGGTACATATTAAACCCATGTTGAACTAGAAACAAACACAAAACCCTCCTTCACAAGCAAACTTCACCACCCAAAACCAATCCAAACCTTCACAAAACCTCGTCCTTTACCTAACTCCATCACAAACAATCTAAACCAAAGAATCAACTATCCATAATTCACCTTCCAAAGAACTCATAATTCACCCTTTACCTACTTCACCTCACGAACATTCAACATTCACCCAATATACAACACTCAGAAAACCCCAAAAAATTGCTACTTTTGACACGTTCAAATTTACCCAATACCCAAATCCCCAAATTCAATTCAAAATACGAATTTGCAGAAGAATCTCCAATTCTTTGATGAAAAATAAGAAAGTGAGAAAAACCCAGAAAAACTAAAGCTTTGGGCTCGGTGCTATGGATAACAAATAGACTAGTACTGTAACAAGTACGGAAATTTTGAAAAAAAAACAAGAGATGAATAAATACAGAATATGTTGTGCAACGATTGAGAAGAAAGAGGGTTAATTACCAAGAAAGTACAGAAACAGAAGAAGCAGGCTTTTGTGGGTGTATTGTTGGGTTAATCGTTCAACGCGCATTCAAATAATTAAATATTTCTTACAAAATGATTAACATATTGCGAGACGGCAGTGGCCGGCTACTGTGCTCGGTCAACAAAAAACTCACTCTCTCTTCTCGTCCAGGCCTCTTATCCAACAGTTCTTACTCAATCAAAGATTCAAAGTGAACAAAACATCAGAACAAACAAACACACAAGGTGTCAATAATGGACGTTTTTTGGCTCCTTTGGAATTTTATTTTATTTTTTTAATTTTTGGTTTTATTTATATATACATAGTAGGAGTGGGTTACTTAGTGGTTTACCGATCAACCCGACCAACCCAATCAAAATTTGTTAGGGTAGGCTGGGTTGTAAACTTAAAAAAATTATTTTCAAGTTGAAACCTGACCACCCGCTCAATAATTGGACTAGATTAGGTTGATGTGTTATTGACCGATTGAAACCGACCTCCGAATATCAATTATTCTTATATATGTATATGTATATGTATATTACATGCACATATACATAAAATTTAATAGTTATTAAACAAACTTTGTTTACTTCTTGTTTAGTTAAATGATGAATTCAAATATTAAGTAACGAGTAGTGATTCTACAACACCAAATTCACAAGATTTAAGTTTAAAATGTGTATTTTGGATTATTTATCACTCATAATCACTTTAGAAATAAGAAAGAAAGTAAATAATCACAACACGATGAATTCGTCTAACCCAACCCACCTTAGAATGGTTTGAGTGGATTGGTTTGCCCGTTTTCTTCGGTGGAGATGGGTTTAATAACGTTACAGTTGAAGTCCAACCTGACCAACCCACCCAATGTCCATCGGCTAATTTAAAGTAAGAATGCAAATGGTGAAGCTTTCATAATATCAAAAAATGGCCCACTCTTTTAAAAAAAAAAAATTAATGAATACAATTTAATTAAGAAAGGATAAAACTATAAAAAATCAAATCAAAACTAACTTACACGAGGAGTAGTTAGTCAAATATCTATTTTTATTTTTATTTAGTGTAAATAATATCGTTTGAACAAAAAAAAAAATCTCTTGTAAACACATATAAATTCAAAAAAAAAAAAAAAGTCAAAAGACCCAAGTGCCACACTCGTAGACTTGTGGCACAAGGCTAGTTTTTTTATAAATCTGGATTAAATATGAGATAATAACATAACTATGAATTTGAAATCCATCAGTTGTAACTACTCTAGAAGAATTGCATCGTATCATAAACATTGTAAATGAACTCTGTAAAACTCCCCAAACTCCAATTTTATTACTCATTGAATTTTTCTTTGCCAAACTTCTTATATCTTCCTAGTATTTTTCTGAGATTCGAGTTCACAAGATTCAAAGTTGGAGTGCTAGGACTTTGAATATTGATAGTTGTATCCTGGTGGACAACGCCTACGAGAACTACAAAGCACAAGAACGAGGACGAATTTCGTCTATAAAGACATTGAAACCCGCAAACCTCTACGACGTTCATCAAGTTAGTTTTACTTATAATTTCTATGTCTACGAGGTGTATGATTTAATTTTCATTTCGTTCAATTAAGTTTGTAAGTTTGTTACTTTCTTAAATAAACTCCTGTTACAAATTTGTGTTCATGTAATGGTATCCAACACAAAAGCTCTTGGAACATGGCTAGAATGACTAGTAAGCACCGCACATGAACTGTGTCAGGTTCACCGAACTAGGGTATCGAAGCTAGTCAGTCTGATACACCCCAAACTGGTAGGCACGATCGTTTCACCAAGGAAGACCTTCTTGTCGACCAAGAAAGGGAAACCTAATCATACCTTGATTAGAAAAGTTTCCCGAGTATTTATGAATCTCAATCATAACGGAATTGAAGTGTCATGCCGCCATCCGAATAGTAATTTTTTTACCTCGAGCTGAGGTGTGAATCACATCTCAATTATAGAATTAGAAACTTCAATAATCAAGATGCGAAAAAATTAAATAAATAAAATAAAAAAAAATCAGAGCATTCCTTGACACATAAAAATTATGGAGCAGAAGCCTAGTTGAAATCTTGTTCCCCAATTTCATGATTCAAATCTTCATATATTTCAAAAGTTACTATTATTTTGGGTTAATTATTGGATTGGTTCTAGCTAGTTACAAAGTTTGATTTTTTTTTTTTAATAATTAGTCATTAAATATCCGTAGACCTTACGAGGTCACTCTTTGTATTTTTGGGTAGAGCTCGATCCTACAAACACGTGGGCCAAAACCATTTGCCAATCGGAGTTATAACTTAGGAGAAATAAGTGAACAAAGGCAAGAGAAAAATAGTAATTAGGACCTCCTATGTATGGAAGGCCCAACAAAGCTGGAGCAACGTTGTCATTTCGAGAAACCTTGACCCGCGAGAAGCAGGCCAAGTTTCTGGGTAAAGTTTCAAATTATTTTTCCAACGAATTCCAACGATGGTGCCGAGTGGTCTCGAGGAAAACTCACCATTTCCGGGCACTTTGATGCCAACAACCACCACAAATGGGTAGTTCTTAACCCCATGACGAGAACCATGGGGCACAATCATAGAGTAGAGCAGCCACGATGTTGCAACAAGGCCACATCCTTTTTCGGTGATCTGCAGCTTCCATGACGATTTTCACCTTCCTCCGGCCATCTTCAAGCTTTGGTGTAGGTATACCTTTTACTCTTTTTCTCATGATCTATCTCTTGGTAAATTTTGAGCCAAATCAGTGCTGGTTGGAAAATACGACAAAGCTTGGCCGCCGGGCACTGCATGGCCAGAGAACCGACCTTGTGTTTCTAAGCTAATGTCGATGCCGTGAATTTGTTTTTTTGACATTCGTTAAGTATGATTCAGTTGTTTGAGCCTAGTTTTGTAAAGTGTTGCCACTTGACCATTGTGGTAGGTAAAGATCCGATCGCTGGATCGTTATAAAATTTTAGTATGTTTTTGTGCATATTTTGTGATGACCTTAGGAGTTTACAGATTAGAAATCTGATGCGCTCCTTCTAACCTAGATGAGGACCGCTTGATACACTTTTGACTTTTGGTCAATATGTCTTGAATCCTTCTTAAAATGCTAAAATAACATTACTAGAGACCTGATATATCCTAGTAGACCAACCTTTGTTTGCATGTCATCCCAAGAGTTATGCACCTCACTTTGTGTGAAACGGTACCTTACCGAGATTTATAATAAACTTCTAAATGTGTGTATTAGAAATAGATGATTACTGGTATGGGCAAATAAATCGGGGACCATATAAGAAATATTATGTAGAACTTGTTTGTCCATTTGACTAAATTTTTATTGAATAATATGTATGTGTGTTTGCAATTGTGATTCATGTTGAATTGATGTATGATGTATGATGTACGATATATGATTTGACCATATAGCATTATGGTACATGGATTGTCCTGCATGGTTAATCCGCATTGGGGGACCATACTTTTATGTGTATGCCTATGATACTGACTAGTCAATCCGCATTGGGGGACTACATGTGTTATAGGGGTGACTGTTTAGTTAATCCACATTGGGGGGGGGGGTCACTGCCTACCTGTTTACATTATTTCCATAGGTGGTTCCGCCTAGCTAATCCGCATTGAGGAACCACATATTAGAGGCATGCTTCTGGTCTTGCCTGGTTAATCTGCACTGGTGACCATATGCATTCTAAAGCTGACTTCACTTGGTTAATCTACATTAGGGGGGTCATTGCCTACTTAATCACATTATATCCATAGGTAGTCCCACTTGGTTAATCCGCATTGAGGGACAAAATTATTGGATGTTTGCCTATGATTCTGCCTGGTTAATCGACATGGGGACCATACACATTCTAGAGATGGATTCAGTTGAGTGGGTCAGGATCCCATCTCCTATTCAGTACTATTTAGTTGTGTAGAACTCTATCTTCGTTAGATTCCATTAAGTGGTCTGGAACCCCTTTCCCTATTCGTTTCCGTTGAGTGGTCCAGAAACCCTATCTGTGTTGGATTATGTTGAATGGTTTGTAATCTTTTTCCCAATTTGGTTTCGTTGAGTTAGTTTGGAACCTAGATTCTTGTGCATAGAAGTTGCTTAAGTTTACGTTTGTGTTTGTAACTTATGGTTGGATTTCTATTAGGGAAATATGACAAACCTTACGAAGGTTTGCTTTATTAAAGTTAGTAAAGTAATATATGATCTTAATGGTTGATTAATGTAGTTAAATGTTAATATGTGTATCTTTGATTCGTTGAATCGATTATTAGTTGTGATTGTGAAATTGTTGTTGGAAAACAGTGTGTTATATGTGAATGGCGAAATGAATCCTGGTTGGCACATGGTTTTGTTATGTAGTCTGGAATCTATTGAATCATGCTAATTGAGTTTCATTGAGTGATTCTAGAACTCTATGTTTTTCTACTATAAAGTATTATGTTAAATATTGGAGTTTATAAATGGTGAACTATGAATGACTTGGTCTCGTCTTGGGATACACATGCAATCTAACACAAATGTTAGATGCAACCATAAAATAAAAGGAAAGGTTACGTATTGTTGAAATATTGGGTATTATTTTAGTCATGCCTTGGAAGTGAGGCATGTTGTGGTATAGCTGACATCATGTTCTAGGAAGTATCTTGAAATTAGGGTGAAGTATGGTACAAACACAACTATACAACAAAAGTTCCTTATTCTTTTGTCTAGAATCTAGTTATTGCATACGAAACTTCTAATAATTACTTTTAGTTTTCAACTGTTGTACCAAAACCCTAGGCTTTCGATTCAATACCTACAAGATCTATAAAGGGGTGAGTGTAACCACAATTCAGTAGGGGTCATGAATAACTGATCAAACTATACCAAGTAACACATAATCATAGATTTCAATCATGAGAAATTAGAAACAACGGTTATATGATGATGCATGAATGTTCCCTCATCCCTGCCTTGATTCTTGTTAACCATACTCCAGAACACACATACCTCACATGTCAAATACTATACTTTGGCCTCAAGTGTCTTGTTATATGAACTATCATGCATGATATACATTCGTTCACTTTCCATTGTTCTTTTAAATTACAATGTGCTTCTCTCGATCGCCAAGTCGTCTCTCACATAAAGATCATCTTTAGTACTAATCATTTATGCTTACCTAAAAGCCTGGTCCTTAGGAAAATTGGATTCAATCTTTCCAATACATCACACCATTTCAATTTATCACGACACAAGCCATGTAACCTAGACGATGCATGTCTATCATCACAACAAAATATGCTGCAATTGTTGGTGGCTTGTCAAGAGCCATTGAGATGGAGGCTATAGTTTGATTTCAAGTTTTTGAACAAGTAATCGTATTCCAACTCAGAATACTGGTAACAAATTCAATGCATGCAATTTTTTTATTGTTCCAAAATTAAAATAATAATGATAAAAATATAATAATAATAATAACAGCAGCAACAACAACGACGATAATCTATGCACTTGCAATTTTTTTTCACTTTGAAAAATTATTAAAAACCATTACAATTCAAAGTCCTATGACTCTGACACTACACCAAATATATTATGAAATAATAAATGTTTTAGTTTGGCACAACACCAAACACCTAACACTTAACAATATAATGTTTGACAATTTAAATAGCATTGATGCACAAATTAGTCTATCCAACTAAACAATATAATTCGACATGTCAAACAATGCCTTCTTGGAATCAGAGGCAACCAATGACCCTACCCTGCCTCCACTATTAAACCTAAAGATGCCTTGAAATCTCCCAGAGAACGGAAAAGTTTTTTGGAGCCAATGACGGTGGCTGGTGACAATTCCTGGCATTAGGATGAATGACATATTGGTCGTGTGCAATGAGGAAAATGTAAATGTTTCTATACTTATAAATGATTGGCCCCCAAAATATTGCTTAATCCAAATAAAAAGAGATGAAATTGATAATTTTCTTTAGCTGGTATTTATCTTAAAACTATATTAAAATTGGTATTTGATATAAATTTGTCTATAATTTAAAACTAAAAATATAAAAAATAGTTTTTAAAATAAATGATTTTTAAATAATTTAAAAAAAAAACAAAAAAGGCAAAAAATAAGGGTTTTAGTTTGGCTTTTTATATTAGCACCTCACAAGATGTTGAATGCACCTCATATTAAAATTTAATATTGTCACATTCCGGCCCGGGGTGGATCACTTCCCGAGCCCGCTCTACCACCGTAGCACGATATTGTTCGCTTTGGGCTTACCATTCCCTCACGGTTTTGTTTTTGGGAACTCACGAGCAACTTCCCAGTAGGTCACCCATCATGGGATTGCTCTAGCCCCCTTCTTGCTTAACTTTGGAGTTCCTACGGAACCCGAAGCCAGTGAGCTCCCAAAAGGCCTCGTGCTAGGTAGGGATGGGAATATACATTTAAGGATCACTCCCCTGGACGATGTGGGATGTCACAATCCATCCCCCTTAGGGGCCCGACGTCCTCGTCGGCACACACGCTACCAGGATTAGGCTCTGATATCAAATATTAAATGATTTATTTATCCTATCATGCAATGGCAATTTTGACCTTTTTAGGTTTTTTTTTTTTTTTCAAAAAAAAAAAAATTCTAAATACACCCCAAATCACTTTTAACGTATTATTTATCTTCTTCAACTATCAAAATCCCTCCGACCCTCCATTGTTGAACAAAACCCTAACCAACGAAACTACAAACATGTTGATTGAGAAAAATTATTTTTGATGAATGAAACACGAAATCGATGTTTTGGAAGCTTCACATGAGGTAAGACGTCATATTTTTATATTGTTTTAGTGATTTTGATGACATCAATAATTATTTAATCTTGCTTTTGCTGCGTTGTTCAAGCTTATATGTTCGTATTTATCTTTTAGGGATCACAAAGATTATATGAAGAATTAAACACCTAAAATTACCACCAAATATTAAAAACAGACGACATGGGTTCTAATGATGGAATTGAAAACAACCCACATATGCTTTAAATCCTAGGCAGCATCTTTTGTCAAAATTCCAGTCGGCATTTTTTGTCTAAATTAAAAGCTTTATAAATTTGAGAAATATAGGGTGTATAGAAAATATGGGGTGCACGTAGAAAATGTAAGATGTATATTGAGAATTAGGGATGGCAACGGTTCAATTTGGGGATGGAAATGCTATATCCATCTCCATAACCACAAAAATTAATCATATCCATAACCGCAAATTAAACATCGGGTATTATCCATAACCATACCCATCGGGTAACAAATTCCCTATCGGTTAACAGGTATATCCATTTTCGTCAATACAAAAAATATATTAGTTCAGTTAAGACAGTATATGTTAGTAGATATTAATTTCGTCATTAAACATTTGATATATAAAATGATCCAATGAATGGATCTTGTTGAGTATAAAAATTAAAACACTGATGATGTTGGCTTGTCTTTGATATCTCACATAAGCACCATTGAGTTCACATTGATTTTGATTCAAAACTTTACTTTCCTACAAAATGCAACTTTTGTATTCTCAAAGTAATGGTTCGATGAATAATGAATATACATATATATATATATGTCTATATATTATACTATTATATTATATATAAATTATATTATTTACTAATCGGGTCGGATTCAGTTATAGATACGGTTTGGGATCTCTATAACCATATCCAAAATCATAACCGAATAATATAAATAGTTTTTCCCCATATCCAAAACATACCCAAACTTTCATACCCAAATCCGCTCCATTCGAACGGTTATTTACAATTATTGGGTTTAACGGTTAGAATTGTCATTCTTATTGAGATTGTGAGGTGTGAGGGTATTATGGGAAAGTATGTGGGGTATATTATGATAATTTTTCATTGAAAAAGCAAATGTGAGATGTATTAAGTATGTAGGATTTATTCAACAATTTCTGAGATGCTAATATAATAAGCCTGTTAGTTTTATCAATCCGGTTTATCGGTTAAGATTCAACGATGGCACTTGGTCCGGGAGAATGTCACTCCAGAAGTCCATATCTCTACGTCTATATTTGACTGGACTTCTTTCTCTTCACTTCGTTCCGCCTCCGCCACCGTCTTTCACTTTGCGTCGCAGTCTCCGACCCCCAGGGATCCTACACTATTTTCTCTGCCGTCTCTCTCACTTGAAGTTTGAAGCGTCACCCTCGTCTCTGTCGTTCTCTCATCCTCATTCCTCACTCAGATGCTCCTTCTCAGCCTTACTTGAAGTTTGAAAGAAAGGTACAAGTTTATTTGTGGGCAAAATTATTCAAATTGATTTAGCGTTTTAGTGGAAATTGGGGATTTGTTAATGAATGAGTTAATTTTATAGGGATTTGGTTTATGTATAAATACGGTAAGTGTAGCATTACTATGCACACTCGTCCTTTGCTCGCCTCTCCATTAAAATTTTAGGGCTAACTACATCATAATTTTCTCACATTGTACCCTAATGTTTTGAATTTTTATCAATATAAACCCTTTTTTTTTTATCTCTTTGAATGCCTAATCCTTCAATAAATTAATGATTTTTTTTTTTTATCAAAATGGTGCAAATATGACTTATTTGTTAACCGATATTAGGCTCTCGCGCTCGTCACGTTATCAATTTAATGAAGGATCAAACAATCAATCGGACCAGAGGCATAAATTGATACAATTTGGCTGAGCAGTAGCTCTTTATTTTTCTTACAATCTCGCACAGAAAGTAAAACCTCAAGCAGTGGCACACTATCATTCATCTCTTTCACAGCGAGAGTGTTGACCAGCGCCAATACTATCTGCTTACTCTCCAAAACGAATTCGTTCCCGGTGAAGCAGGGTCCCTACGGCACCAGCCTTTGCTTTACTAGAAGAAGAGTTGCGTCGTTGTCTTCCTCTTCCAGGAGGTCCTTCAATTGCACAGCTACCTACAATCCCCAAGTTCAGATCAAGGAGGAAGGCCAGCCTGAAACCCTAGACTACCGGCTCTTCTTTGTCGACCGTTCCGGTCAAAAGGTTATTTTTGTTCACATTTTCCATTTTCTGTTGTGTTTTGTTTGGATTATGAGAAAAATGTAGAAAAGTGAATAATGTGAAAGCTTCCCAAACGTGCATAGATGGGATTATAACTGAGGGTTTTAGATGTTTTTATATATATGTATATTCAATTTTTTCAGTAATTATAATGGAAGGTTCTAATGGCATAGGAACTGTGTCAATTAATTTTTATTTAAATTTTAATTGGCATATATCATTTGCTTCATTGAGGTCTCTCTGTTTCAAAATTAGGACTTGATTTTAAATTTGCAATTTTCCAGATTATCTTGTTTTGTTTTGGCGGGAAAATGGAGCCAATGAGACATTCAGTATCCACATTAGGTTCTTAGACCTGACTGATGGAATGCATTGGTTTGTGATTACAGGAATATGATTTTGTGTGTTCTTAGTTTGAGAATAAGTCCATGACTGTATGTGTGTAATCACAGTTCGAACTTGTATTTGAAGAGTAAATATGTATGTGTGATTGTAAAAGGATTTTCAAAATGGTGGGTGTGTTGAGTCCTCGTTGGTTTCTACATGCCAATCAGTTCACTTTTGTCTCAAGTTCTCAACTTGCTATAACAATCTGTTGGTTTATGCGTAGGTTTTGCCTTGGCATGATATACCTTTGCAAGTGGGTGATGGTGTATTCAACTTTGTGGTTGAAATACCCAAAGAATCAAGTGCAAAGATGGAGGCTGCTACTGATGAGCCACACACTCGGATAAAGCAGGATACAAAGAAGGGGAAACTTCGTTACTACCCGTAAGAATTAATTTGTACTTTTCCTAAAGTTACATTATAGTGTTTTTTCTTGTCTTGGTGCTTCGCGTGTTCAATTTAATTTTTGGCTAAGGGTGCATCATGAATCAGACTCAAGCCACCGTTGGTGCTGATTAACTGTTTTTATTTTTTATTTTTATAATTTCTTAGATGCATGGATTTTTTTCGGTGATAGAGTTTGATATTTAAATTTAGTTTTTTTCTACACAAACCAATAATAAATTGGGGAATGGGGACCAAACCCAGGAACTTCTTACAAACTACCATGTTACAACCGCTTAGCCCAAAAAGTTTAAGATGTAGGAAATGGCTAACAATGTATATTGAGGTACACTGCTTGTCCTCTGTAACCATTATATTACAGACATGCTAGAGTAGTCATTCTCAACATCTCATCTCACACATCTTAACTTCTTTCTTCATGCTGGAACGACCCCCACTTAGTGGGATAAGGCTTTGTTGTTGTTGTTGTTGTTGTTGTTTGTACTGGAACGACATCACATTCCACAAATACTCTTAGTTACCCATTAAGCCACTTCCAAGTTCTTACCAATACACTCTCTTGAAACATATGTTTCTTTGATATGGTAACCCCATTCCATTATACACCAACCTTGCACATGTATCATCTTCTGTTGATATTATTAAGAGATCCCTGTACCAGAATCTTGTATACAATTCTTTCATTATACAATTTCAGTAATAAAATTCTACACTACGTTATTATTAAAATACACATTACCCCCGTCCAACTTAATCCTTTTTATTTTATCATATCTAAAATCTTTTTTCTATGCTACCACATCACATTAAACACGTATTGTGTGTACATCTATGTTTCATCATTTATTTAAATTCCTTAAAAGTTATCTTTTGTGCATACCTTCATCGAATCGTTCTCAGGTACAATATAAATTGGAACTACGGGTTGCTTCCCCAAACATGGGAAGACCCAACCGTTGCTGACGCTGAAGTTGAAGGAGCCTTTGGGGATAATGATCCAGGTATGCTTACTTATCTCTTGTTTCCAAATTTTTTTCCTAAGGTAAGTGTAACTTTTAGAAGGAAAAGTAAAAACATTTGTTTTTGCTACAACTTGTAGTTGATGTTGTTGAGATAGGCGATAGTCAGAGAAGGATTGCCGAGATTCGCAAAGTAAAGCCTTTGGCTGCTTTAGCTATGATAGATGAAGGGGAACTTGACTGGAAAATTATTGCAATTTCATTGGATGATCCAAGGGCTTCTCTCGTTAATGACATTGATGATGTTGAGAAGCATTTCCTGGTATGTACTGCTTTCTAACCAAGCACTATTAAGATTTCCGTAATTACACACCACCATAGCTACCTTAATTAATGTATCCATTATTTAGGTGTTTTCAGTTTTTAAATCCGTTGTTGTATCATATGATTACTAAATCAGAATGGATAGTTATGACAAGCCTTAATGTTTAGTTACAATTTATCAGCCTTCATAAACTGAGATGAACTAAATAGTAAGTTTTTTTTAAAGGACTTAGTGTGTGTGTGGCATTATGAGAAAATTTTGTACTGAAATGAAGGAAATGGTGAAAAATATTTATTTTGTGTAAAAAAAATATTTATCACCCGTTCCTCCCCCTACCCTCGCATAGTGGGGACCTTGTTGGCTTGGGGTTATCCTTTTATAAAATTCTTGGAGAAGACAACTACTTTAGGCATTATTGTGCATATCAGTTCTTATTTTAATTGTAATGAATCTTTTAGCCACATTACCATTGGATTTTACTAAATGCTAGTGATGTATGGTTTACTTAAGGGGACTCTCACTGCAATAAGGGACTGGTTTAGAGACTACAAGATACCAGATGGAAAGCCTGCTAACAAGTTTGGTCTTGGCAACAAAACAACAAACAAGGTAAATTTACATCTAGGCCGCCAAATTGCTATTTTTCCTTTTATCTCCTTATTGGTTTCTTTATTGGTTCAGTCACCAGCTTTCAATGACCCTACCCTCTGACCTAGTAGCATAGTGCTCCTCACAAAATGCAAGTGTTGCAAGGAGGCTTTACATGTATAAAGTCTGATTTTCTGATTTCAAAGTCTTCACTATTTGCATATATAAATGCATAATTTATGTAAGAATGTCTATTTATGGTTATCGGACTTGTGTGGATTAAGAGTTGACTTCCAAATCATCCAGTGGGAGGATTTAAGGTAACGGGTGAGGTATTCTATGCGGTTCATTTATTTCTAACTTTTGATACGTTTGATAATGTCATACAACATGAAGGCAGTCGAAACAGTTGAAACACGATACACAAATCTACCTCAGCTGGTGAGTAGTTGCAAGTCTATTCATGTATCAATGTGGAATTAGTGTAGCAGTTGTGGTGTGAAGGAAAATATAAGTGCCACGTAAAGAGGTAGCCACTTGGTGGGGTTCTAGTTAGTTTAGGGTATTAGCTGTTTCTTCTTTTTTTATTTGTCTTATTTGAATACTAGTTTGATTTAGTTTGATAGATGATAGTTATACCCTTAGTCAGTTTAAGCAATCATCCGACAGTTGTGTGACTATTTAAGTATTTTGGAAGGTAAGGATTGAATAATCATTTAAGTAATCAAGGGGTAGGATTCTTGGGCTGCTGTAGTTCAAAGTTTTAATACCGTTTCAAGAGAATTTGAATGCATATTCTTATCTAACTTCTCGAAAACAAAATCATCTTTGCGGTAGAACTCATCGATCTACATTCCAATTTGATCCTATTTCTTTTTCTGTATCGTTTGTTGTTTCTTTTTATGGATAGGATTATGTATTTTAGTAATTACCCTTTTAAGAGGCCTTGTGCATTTTTTTGAACAGCATATTCAGAATTTTCAGATTATAGACTTCCCTCTTGGCTTTCTGCCCCTATAACTTAATTATCGATGCCTCAACTTCGACCTTGTTGCTTATTATCTCTTGTTTTCATCTATTTGTTGCTGGAAATTCGTTTGTAGTGTGGTTTGGTATTGTCCACTAGACAGTAATATAACACTCATTGTTAAAATCCTTCTTCACTGGCTTTTCTTTACCACCTGCAAACATTAGATATTAACATAGTATGTGTGTGTGATTGTTGTACCTCATATCTAATTTTAGAAATAATTCCTATGATGAACAGGATTATGCTCTTAAGGTCATAGCCGAAACCAATGAATCATGGGCTAAGCTTGTCAAGAGATCGATTCCAGCCGGAGATCTGGCACTTGCATAGATGCATTGGTAGAATTAGAATTCCGGGCGTTTATTGTTTTGCACTCGCCATGATTCATTAGGGGTTTTCCCTTTTAGCGAACCGGCGGTCCGACTGAGTAATCCAATAAGGATGCGTTTGTTGCACCGGACTATCTCAGACTGGATTAGCTTCAAGGACCAAGCTAGACTGGCTTAGACTAGACTAAGTTGGACTGACTTAGTGAAACGTTTGGTGCAGTGTCAGACTAAAAAGAAGGATAATAACAAACTACAATATTATTTTTTTTTAATTCATATCTAATAATATTATATTAATTAATTCTATCTTTTTTATTCTAATAATACTTTCCCTCTCTCTGGAAGCCTCCATCCTTTTCTCCCTCTTTATCTCCCTCGTTCTCTCCGTCCCACACTCTCATTCCCTTTCCTCTTTTTTTTTTCTGATTAATTGCCAAAAAAAATTCTGCAAAAACGAAGAATCGAGCTTGGTTTCTCTGGTGTTTGTTCGGTGCAAGATTCCAACTGGAGGGAGCTTTCCAAGTCTGTGGATTCAATCGGAGCCGCAAGTCTGTGGAGCGGCGGAACTGGCCTGCAGCGATTCTCAAGCATGCTTAGAATATCTTCTGCGCAGGAGAAGCCGACTGCTATTGAGTCGCCGCCGCAACAGTAGAACTACAGTACCATCTGGATGGAGCAACTGTTGCTGTCGCGGTCGAGTTTGAGCCGAGCTCAGATCTCGGCGGAGCAAAAAGAGAAGAAAGCAAGGAGAAATGAGGAGGGGAATGGGGAATTGGCGAAGGGGAATGATGGTGGCTCTCGGCGTTTGTGAAAACATAGGAGCAGTGGAAGACGCGAGGGAGTTAGTCCTTGCTAATCCCATGGTTCTCGATGGGTCTGCTAGCAAAGGAGTTAGTCCCCGCGAGTCCTTTCTAATCTCATTAAACTTAGTCCCGGACTGTTAACAAACACGGGACTAGACTACTACATAGTCCAATCCAAGCCAACGAAAGCTAGCAAGCTCAAACAAACACACCCTAATAACTTGGTTTTGTTACTAGACAATATGGTAATCCTGCTTGGTGCTTAATATAGGGTGCTTTTTATCGACCAGTGTGGTTACGTCAGCAGGTCCGGATAACAAAAGAAGCATAATGTTACAAAACGCCACATATACAGAGGAAGCTAATATGATTGGTGAAGAGTGTGCTAATACGAGATTACTACCATCAACCTTGTCTCTTTCTTTTGGAGAAAGAATTGGCTTCTTAGGGATTGAGTAAGAACTCCTCCTTAAAATACTTCATGGGCTATTCACAGAAATTTGCATTTATGATCAGAATCGTTTATATTGTAAATCACTTTATAAATATGATCTCTATTAAAAAATTAATTTAAACTAAGATCATTTAGTCATTAAACTATATAAAAACACATGAACGGATTTGGTAAAAGCATTATGAATTGTTTATCTATTTGCTACAAGTGATTGACTAGACAATATTAGTTTTAGTCGGATTTTTTGTTGAGATGATCTTTCCAAAGTAATTTACAATATGACTGTTTCCAATTGTAAACATGAAGTTCTATGAATAGGTCGATAAGTATTTGGAGGAAGAACTTATTTCGTAACTTTAAGGAGCCTCTTCTCTTTGATTTACCAATTTTCCTTTGAGGAATCTTTGGCTTCTTAGAGCATGTGCACCCTTGAAGGCATAATTGGTTAGGCAATTGGGCAATATGCAATTATTACCTTAGTGGATAGTAATTGTGCGATTGCAACTTCACCCCGTAAAATGAATTGTCTAGGCAATTGCTCTTAAATATTTATTTTTGGAAAAAATTAATATTATATTTTATCAGTATATTTTTCCTTTTTCTTTCTTTCTTCTTTCTTATCGTTTCTTGAAACCTTTCCCCTTCCTCCTATTTTTCTCCGTTGCACTTCCAACCTCTTATCTCCCTCTCTTTCTCTTACCCCTCCTGATCCATCCCTATATTCTCATCGGCTGATCCTTCCTTTCTTTCTCCCCCTCCCTCTTTTTCTTCGTCCTACCCCTCCCCTCGAATTCCGACTTCACCGTCAAATCTACACATCTCCTTCACCACCTTCTCCTACAATTCATCCCCCTCACTCTTACATTTTCTTAATTTTTTATTAAATTTTTAATGTGGGTGACGCCATGCTGACATCAGACCACTTGAGCGTTGAATAGGCAATCCATGTCTAATTGTTCAATTTGATTCTCCTGGGTCGACGAATAGCCTGACAGCTTTGGGCTGGGTGGAGAAGGTTTTATTGGGTGTTGGGAAATCCAATTGCCCAATTGCCCAGGCAATTGGGATGGGGTGGAGTTGCTCTTAGTATTAAGGATTGAAGAGGAGTTCCTCGGCTTCACAAAACTTTGTGTTTATATTATAATTATTCTGTAAAGATCATTTTTACCCAAAATTAATTAAAATATGATCGTTTAGTCGATTAATTGTAGCAAATAGATAAACTGTCCGTAATGCTTTTTACCAAACTCTTCCATTTGTTTTAATATAATTCAATGACAAAATAATGTCATTGTTGTATAATCGATTATATCTGTGCAGTGGAATAAAGTAAATAAGACAAGATATTTACGAAGTTTGGTAAGTGTGCCTACGTTTGTAGGGCAACAGTAGTACTTTCTTTCATTATCTAAAATAATAAGAGTACAAAATAACTCTCACTATTTTCTCTTTTCTCTCTAGATTGGCTCACTAATAATTTCTTTCACATCTCTCTTCTTTCTCGTTATGTTCTTTTTCCTCCATAACTCCTCTTTCTTTCCTCTGTATGTTTCTCTCTCATCTCTTTCTTCTTCTTCTCAGTTCTTCCTTCCTCTATATGCTCTCATCTTATAAGCAAAATATTACTGAAGCAACACTATTCACTTTACAAACTTTCCTCAAATGAATAGTGAAATATTGTGCATGAATAGTAACCCATCTGTTTTTCTTCATATGAATAATAATTCATCTGCTTTTTCTTTGGATGAATAGTAATGAAGTATTCATGTGAGCCATCCACATATTATATTACAACACTCCTCCTTGGATGACCATACATTAATTTTGGTTGCCTCGTTAAAACCTTGAAATGTTTTGGATGCTACCTTGATGAGTATCTTCCCCTGATTTCGAATTCTTTAATCTAACTGATACTATGTTGATGTAATCTGACACCATTTATGATAGTTAGAGTGTTTGCTTCTAAAGGTGGTTCACATACGCTCCAAATTTTAATGGCCACAGGTTTTAACCAAACTTCTGTATTTCTGAGAGATATGAAGATGTGGCAATGAATGTTGCTTCCTTGATCGTCGTAGGATCAATTTATTTCCATATGTAAATACAAATCATTTCTGAGAGCGATTTGAATGCAGGCTAGAAAGATTCAAATTTTTGTTTTTGTTTGCCTAATAAGACCATGGCTATTAGTGAGTTCTTTGGAATAAAATAAGCACATGTCTATAATTTCCTGGAGTTATCAAAAGATAAACTTTACTTCATCCTAATACCATATGTTGGTATTTTGCTTCACAGGAAATGTAATAGCTAACTCAATGTATTGCACTAAATACAGTAAGACACATACCTCACTAAAATATGGTACCTCTGGACCAAATGTCAATTCATCATTTCCCTCATGATCTTTCTTAGTGTCTAAATATTGGTTAATAATTTGAGTATTCAACTCATAATCTTCAATCCATATGGTTTTCTAAAACCATAAACATTTTAGATAAGATTTGTGTTGGCATATTGTTCGAACTGCAGCTCGAGACAATATTCCTTTCAACACTTTATAATCTTTCTAGACACTTCAAGAGTTCCAATCTAATATCAACTCTTGCAAGAGATTCAATGTGTTGCAATAATATCATAATGAAAATACTCATTAAGGCAATTTATACCCCTCATTGGTATTGAGTATATAATTTATGTTTTACCCTTCTAGGGCTTTCTTCAAGCAATTTGAATCCTTCAAGGATTTTCTACACCTCATGACACATTCTCCTTTGGAATTTATACAGAGCAACTTGCTTCCATATATGCTTAAGGGATTTACTTGTAGAGATATGCTTCGGGCATGTATAATTCTCCACTGAAATAAACAAGCTTCACAATGAGAAATCATGTTTCCAGGAGTGTATTACAATTTCAGATTTCAATTGGAAACCTTGTGTCATATCATATGAGTGTATTTCACTATATTACAAATGCCCATATGTAACCTTCTGGTTCAACATCATTTGGCAATTTGTATATAGGTCCATTTTTCCACTTTGGCCACTAATTTTTCTTTTTGTCGAAAAACAAAAGAACATATCTCAATATCAACACAGCTCTTTGATGAATTTAGTAGCTACTGTAAAACCAAAATTAACATTGGTAATCATCAATTCTTGATCCCCTAATTCTCATGTGCATGCGCATGCATATTTATAAGCATTTCATTACTCTGAATATCTTTGTCTCTTTAGGGGCTTTACATTGTCTCTTCTAGGACAGTTATCTCTTATTAGATGAATTGTTTGAGAATTTGGATCATAATCTCCTCTAGAGCGTTATAGAGCTTGGATTTTTAATCTCCATTTCTGGGGAGTTGAATCATAGGAACCTACTCATCGATCATGCTTTAGGCATAAAATATATTAAAATTACCATGTCCATGGATTATCCCTTTTGGAACTGGAATCCATGCGGCGACCATCATGCTTCGGGCATGCAACAGTTCAGTAGTGCCAAGTCTATGGATAGTCTAACTGAGACTTCAATCTTTGGGGTAACTCTTATTAGCCTTTTGTACATCATGTGAATGATATAAACTAGTAGTGTTTGTTGGGGCTGTAAGTAGAATTCCCATCATTGAACCTTGGTCTTCCATTTACTCAGTCAGCCATCAATTTTCTCCCTTTGGACTTCCATGGACACATTGTCGATCATTCTGCTTTAGTCTTTTGCACAGTAGAAATAGTGCGCAACCTTTTTCCCTTGGATGGTCCATTACTTCTTGGTGACTCATCCATGCTTGGCAGCTTTAGTGTAAAGAACCAACAACGTACCAATTATTCTGCGGTGTTGGTGACTTGAGGCCCGGCTTTAACAACAGTTAAAGATGACTACTCGAGAACAATGCAAGGTAAGCAATCAGGGAAAATTTCCAGGCAGTCTGTTCCTGACCAGAAGTTTGATTTCATGTTCCGACTGATTGCTTTCTTTATCCTTATCTTGTAGGCAAAAGTAAGGGCAAAGGAAAATACAGGGAAAAAGCATGATATACGATACTTTTGCTCTCGACCCTGATGATATGGGATATTTTTGCACTTGAAGGAAAAAGTATAAGATTTTGATGATAGTGTAAACCTTTTCGATCGAAAGGGGTTTCTTACTAAGAAAATGAGTTTGGCATTTTGAGGGACTTGGTTGAAGAGGTATTCTCAGAGATAATGAAGGCTGAATATGTTGAGAAGTTTTGTTGCAAATGCATTCTCGGCAAGGAAGATGAGTTAGGTGTTTTGGAGGTGTGCCTTGCCATAGAGGACTAAGGTCGACATATATAAGGATTTCCCAATGGCAGGTAATGGTGCGGATGTGGCATTGTCACCCACACTTGTAGGCAATAGTGGTGTAGTTGGAATAGTGAACTTTATGCGTTTTAATTTTGCCAGAGATATTTTGATAGAGTTGTCATTGATATACAGAAAGTTGAGATTGCATCTAAGAAATGTTGACAAACTTTATTCAGGAAAATCCAACTTTTGAAATTCGAAAAGCTGTGTCTCTTCTATTTTTGAACAGGAGCTTGTGTTGCCACTCCTTTTATAGAGGTATCAATTGTATTCAAAATGCACACTTTGAAAATTGCCCACCTGTGAAAATTGTCTCTGTTGTATTTCTGAGATTTCACTTTATCCAACATTTTTCTTTCATCATTTCTGAAAATAGCTTGTCTATCCAACCTTTACTTAGATTTGAGTCTCGGAGGAGATACATACGAGCCGTGCAAGGATAATATATGGCGTCTGTCATTTTTATCTTCTAATGGCCTTCTTACTTTTGGAGACTCTGTAATGAGGGATGATATAACGGCTATAATAGTAGTTAGGAACTTTCTCACTCCTATAGATAAAAGAATCCTTTTAAAGAAGTCTGATGAATTGACTGTTCAAGACTTTTTAGTTTTCAGTGTTCAGTGTGCGGGTTCTGTATCCAACATGAGCCAACGTTTACTTGCTTGAACTTGCCAAGTTGAAAAATTAATGGCTAAGGTGGCAAGTCTTAGACAAGAGATTAGAGGGCTCAAGCAGGAGAATAAAGAGTTGCACAAACTTGCAAAAATTTACTCAATGAGCATGAAAAGAAAGCTCGACTAGCTATAAAAATCTGAAAGTCGGATTCAAAGTGATCACCAAAGATTCGTAGCTAGATTCCGAAGGCAACTAGTGTCTTCCCCTTTTGGTGTTTTACCAAGTACTAGGGCGTCACATGATCAACTTTCAGTGCCTCTCATTTCTGGGGTACTGCCAAGTATTGAGTCTTCACATGAGCAACCTTTGTAAAGGCCCCCCCCATTTGTTTTTTTTTTTTTTGGTAGTTGTAACTCATGTGTATGTATAAATTTTTTTTTCCCATTTGATTTTATACATGTCTGAAAGCTTCTACTTTAGCTTGTTATATATGGGAATCCATGGAAACTTCTGGTTCCATAATTAATGAATTAATGAAGAGACAATGGAAACTTCTAGTTCCATGAATATGATCCAATGAGCCTTTAAGTATAGATGTTTTCTAATATCATATGTTTTTACATGAATTCTCAGGCATTATGAATTCATGAAAGTATCTTTTGTGTAAGATGTCCATGGTCACACAATTGGGTTTTGCTAAGTTCACAATTTTCTTATTCCTAAAAGGAAGAAATTCAAATATGACAGAAATTGCAATAATTAACTCATACCACATATAACACATGTCTACACAAAATGTTAGAATTACAAGTTCTTAACATTATTCATATTATGAATTTCAGGTCAACATTATTCATATGTACTCGAAATTTATTCTCAAAATCGACATCATTAGAACCTTTAGGTTCATATTTTGGAATTCATGTCCGTACTTAATCTGTACATGGATTAAGGAACTTATGATCCTCATTACATGAATCAAGGAAGTTTTGACCCTCATTTAATAGTTTGTGGACCGAGGCACTTGTAGCCATCATTTTAATTTAGTTGAGGAACTGTTGCTCTCTCAGTTGATTCAAAAACTTCAGGTTTTGATTTGAACAAGGAACTTTGGGTCCGATTATTTTTATATAATGATGATCAAGGAACTTCAGGTTTGATCTTTTTTAATGGTGAAACTTTAGGTCCAATCATTTTATATGATGAGGATCAAGAAACTACAGGTTCTAATCTGATCAAAGGACTTTAGGTCCTTTTATATACTCATCATAAAATGTAGTACACTAAATAAATTAGCAATGAACGGTATTTCTAGCCATGGTAAATAAATTGCTTTTAAGTAATTAAAACTTGTGACAAGAGTTTTGATCCAGCACAATTCACATAAATATCAAAGCTTTAAAGCAAAGGGTAATAATTTCACCCACTGTAAATAAATAGAACTTGTGATAAGGCTTTAAACCAGCATCATTCACATAAATATTTCAAAACAGAAAAGGCAATGATTAAGTCTCCATCTTTTTTTTTATCTTTGTCTGCCACTTTCTTTTGTTTCATCCATTTTATTTTATTTTCATTTCATAGTTCTAAGTCTCTTTAGTTACCCAGGAAGTAATAGTAACAATAAGTCCTAATTGGCGTTCCTCCTCCGGTGAGTTTTTAAAAAATCGAAACGATTCCCATAAATTTTGGAGTCAAGAGTAGTGCCTACAACTTATGAAAATATCAAACCGTTAGATTTGGTCAAATTTTAGTATGATATGGATAGGACGATACCAAACAACTTTCGTGAAGAAACAATTTCAATCTGAGCTACTAAGAAAGGAATTTCAGTACTCATAAGATGGTTGTCCAGTTTTTTGCAGAATTAGAAACTGGGTTGGTGTTTCAAACATCTACGACGATTGCACGGTTGGAATTTTTTGAAATTTTGATTTGTTATATGTACTGGGCAGACAAACAACTTTAAAGAATGTAGTATCTCAATTCGACGTCAGCAAGTTGAAGTTCATAGGCTGTTTACATGGCTGTCAGATTTTCTGCTAATAATAATAATAATAGTTATATAACCAAATGTATATTTACTTTAAGAAAATTAGTCATACAGAGATATGAAAATGAAATGAAAAGATTTTCTTATCTGTGAGAGGTAGATAGTGCTTCACCGGATTTATGGTATTGTGCTTTCCACCGACATGAGAGTTTCTCGTGCTGATAACATGTTGTAAAATCGACAATATATGTGTAGTGGAATAAAGTAAATAAAACAGGATATTTACGAGGTTCGGCAAGTGTACCTACGTTCTCGGGGCAGCATTAGTACTTTATTTCATTATCTGAAATAATAGAAGTACAAATTAACTATCACTATTTTTTTTTTCTCTAGCTTAGCTCAGTGGTAATTTCTTCCACATCTCTCTTCTTTCCTCTTCTCTTCCTTTCCCTCCATTACTCCTCTTTCTTTTCTTTGTATGTTTTTCTCTCATCTCTTTCTTCTTCTTCTCACTTCTTCCTTCCTCTGTATGCTCTCATCTTAGAGGCAAAAGATTACGGTAGAAACACTATTCACTTAACAAACTTTCCTCAAATGAATAGTGAAATACTGTGCATGAATAGTAATACATCCGTTTTTCTTCATATGAATAATAATCCATCTGATTTTTCTTTGGATGATAGTAATAAACTATTCATGTGGGTCATTTACACAACAACAATATTATCATTGATATTTTGTAAAAATAATTTTTACAGAATAAGCTATGATATTAACAGTTTTGATAATGAACTCAAAATTCTATTAATCCACCACGTGTATTGAAGAAGCAATCAAGATTTAACGTTTAATTCCTTTTTCGTATGAAGGCTCTCTTGCCTTGGGCATGTAAATCCTTTCACACTTTGCAATTCACACCAAAAGGAGCGCGTCTACACGCTCTCCTCACACGGCATCAATGATTGTATGGAAGTAAACTCCACGCTCTTCGAGTGCGAGTATCAATTGTCAATCCACTTTCTCACCCCATCATCAACTCTCCGATTCCGATCGACTCAGACACACAACAAAATCCCCAAAGCCAACCCACCCCAAAACTCACAGGGCTTTTCAGAATAATACCAACCTCTTTCAATGGCGGACACCACCGCAGAAGTAGAGCAAGAAACACCTCCACCGCCATCATCATGCTACTCGGTGATTCTGAGAATTATGAGCAAAAGGAGAACATGGGTATGTATGTTCGTGCTAGTATACGCTATCCTCCTTACTTCTTCATGGAACTTCCTCAAATCCTTGCTCTCCTGGTACGAATTGCAACCCCACTCGTCTTCGTCATCGTACGGATGGCCTGCCCTTTACGCCTCGGTGCTTCTGGGGGTGGTTTTCGGGCTGCTTTCGATGTTCGCGGCGCTTGCAGTGATGGTTCCGGCCACTCTGGTGACGTGGATCGCCATCGTGGTTCTGCTGGCCTTCTTCGGGAAGCCGAGGAGGGCGTTGGTGGTGGAAGGGAGGAAGATTACGAGAGAGATTGTTGGGATTGTGATGAGGATTTTGTTGAAGGAAGGGAACTTGGTGGCTGCTGGTTGTGCTGTTTTGGGGTATTTTGCACTTTTTAGGAGGAATGGGAATGAGGTGATTGACTGATTTGGTTGTTGGGGTTTTGGATTTTGGTAAAGTTTTCTGCTTTCCCTATCTCCTCCCCCAATTTGAAGCCATTGTTTTGTAACTTTGTATGCTATTTTTATTATTTTACTTTCAACATCTCAGATTAGAAAGGGTAAAAATCTCTGACTCCCTCCCTGTGTTTTGATTTTAGTTTGGTATCTGACTGTTATTTGGTGTGTGTGTGTGTGTGTGTCTGTCTGTCTGTCTGTCTGTCTGTGTCTGTATCATCCTTCCCAAATTTAGCAACTTTATGGCCAAATATATAACACAGAATTGGAGGTGTCAGTGTTATTGTGCGTGATGATGCCGGGGTTTTTGCAGTCGCAATGTGCAGAAATTTTCAAGATGTCTTCTCTCCGTTGCAGGCGGAAGCCATGGCGATTAGAGGACCTTTTCGATTGAATGTGATTCACTTGAGATTGTTTTGGCGTTGAGGACCCATTGGTTAACCTGTATCCGATGGGGCAGATTATCGAAGACACGAAGTCCTTGCTTCCGACATTCACTTAAGTTACATGTACCCGTATCCGTCGCCAAGCCAACAATTTAGTGCATCGTTCGGCTCGTTATGGTCTTAGTGTAGATTACATTTGTGTATGTTCTGGTAATCCTCCTATTTTTGTTGTAGACACTTGATGAGGAGAATGTATCCCAGTAATATGGTAGTCATCTCTGCCTTTTTTGTAAACCACTTTTGATCTTATGAAACCCAAAAAAAAAAAAAAAAAAATTGATTGTGGAAGGAAGCAAATGTATGAAGGCACAAATACAAGTTCGAAAAATATTTCGAAAGCAAGGGACATGTAATGGATGCATTGTGCTTAACTCTAGTGTCGTGAGCATGTGAACTGGGATACAGTGAATTGAAGAAGAAGACCTTAATCTACACTAGCGGTATTCCGTTGTCTTTTATTCAAGATTTTTGGACGATGGAAGCTTGTTGTTTCTTTCTTCCCTTTAAAGGTTTATAACTTCCAAGCTTCTCCAAACTTAACCAAGCCAGTCGTATAAAACTGGTTTGAGGAGGAGGTGGAGTTGAATACAGGCTACACGGTAACCAGCAGTCTCTGCTTGTTTGCTGTTTGGTTCCGGTAAAACTGGACCGACCGATTACCGAGAGATTACTACCGAATCGATAATTAGTGGAAAAGAAAATCGAAGTATTTGTGGAAATATATGAAACTAGAATCCAATTCAACAAGGTAAAAACTCTATCACTTGGTGAAACGTAGTTGAACACTTTTCCAGTAAAAAAACAATTCACTTTTCCAATACAAACTTCACCCTTTGTGTTCGTAGAGGCTGTCCAGAGGCAAGGCGAACAAGGGATGTGCCTTGAGCCTCATCTTATTATATACCTTAAATTTTGAGTGTTGTTATTGATACTCCGAAAGTCTCACTGTTTTTCTAAGTGTATTTTTTTTTATATATAGAAAGTTTGGAGTGCAAAATAAAATTTATGGAGTGTCAATAACTGCAACCTAAAACTTTCATCATTCATTGTATTTTAGATTCGGAAGAAAGAAAAAAAAAATCTTTTATCCTTCTAAATTTAATCTGATGCATCTCAAATTTATATTCAAAAGGCCTCATTTCATTTTTGTCTTGTGCCTAAGATTTGTGTACTTGAGTCCTTAGAAGATTGATTTTCTGCTCTTCATCTCCTCGAGATGGCATAACTTTGAAAGCTTTCGTCCATCACTTTGGAGCCCGAACTGTCATTACAGTTTAGGGTATTTCTAAAGGTTATATCAAATACGACAACTAAGACTAAACGACATGGTTTTCTCTATGGAAGATGCTATAATTGACGTGACAGCTAAGTTATTTGACTTCCTATTTTCCCACAATCTCTTTTTATAACAAATAAAGATGGAATCCATTTTGTTATTTAATGTGTGAGGTCTCATAATTCACAAACTTTTAGATTTTTTTATTTATTTATTAAAGACGGTAATGGTGGAGCCCAATATATAATAAAATAATAATTTAACACATCTCTTAGGATGGAAGAAATTTTGTGAGAGGTGTATAATAAAAAATTTTAAATGAAGATAACAATTCTCATTTTATTTCATGAGATGAATTGATTAGTTAAGGAATGTCAAGGTCCATAGCACACACATCCTTAACTTTTTGTAGTCGTTAAATGTGTATGTGAAGCTTACTAAGCATAATTATAACGACAAAATTAACATGTGCGAGAGCTCAAGTGATCCTGACATTTTTCTCCACTTAATTTTTGCTTTCATATTTTACAAAGATTCATAGAGGTGATGTAATTTATGTAATATGTAATAAGAGCGGAATAGGGGGTAAATTCCTTCCCTTAGAACCATACTTGAGAGTTTATGACCTCATACGGCTCTGTGGTCAAATTCTTTTGATGTCCTATTTTTTAATTACCCTATCTAATTGAATGAGATTTCTCAAACGTATATCGGATATTTTTTTTTTCAAGTTAACCCCATCAATCAATCCGAACTCTCGAAATTTGATCCAACGGCTAAAAACAAGGGACTTCTTTAAAAGTTATAATGACTTTAATCGTTTGATCAAATTTCATGGGTTCGGATTGATTGATGGTTTGGATTTGGTGGAAGGGATCCGGAGATGATCCCTTTTCCACGTGGGGACAGTGGGTGGATGGAGTACAATTATTATTCTTTTATTTTATTTAGGAACTTAAAGATTATTTCACAAAAAAAATAACTTGTCATTTATATTAGGAAGTTTTCATAAAAAAGGCTTGGGTTAAGTTTAATTTAATAAAAAAATCATGCTATAACTTCATTTAATGAAAAAAAAACTTGATGCACTTGAATGCGCGCGTCCATCACAAACACTATTTATGAAACAATACTACACTGTTTATGAAACTTAACAGTATTATGCTATTTATGAAACCGCGGTACTATACTATTTATGGAAATAAACAATACTACACTATTTATTGTCCAGATTCATAAATGGTGCTTCTTGGTTCACTTTTGTAAATAGTGCTTAGTTATTAGGTCATGTTTTATAAATAGTGTATAGTAATTGATACAGTTTCATAAATAGTGTCTCATTCTTGATCCAGTTTCATAAATAATGCCTAGTTCTTGATCCATTTTCATATATAATGAGTAGTCCTTGGTTATATTTCATAAATAGTGTCTAGTTGTTGGTCTAGTTTCATAAATAATGTCTCTTTTTTTATCCAGTGTTTTATATTGAACTCTTTCAATTTTTTATATTTTCTAATCAAACAAAGAACCAATTAGAACTCGAGGAAATTGAAAATTCATATGGTTCACAACTCAAAGTTTTTTTTTTGGAGTTCCCTATGTTATGTTAATGAAGTCCACAAGTTGTATCTAAGAATGCTTTTTTATTTTCTTCCCAAAAAACCCCTTTCTCCTGCAAGTTTTATTTATTTATTTATTTTTATGAATTCCCTTTCTCCTGCCATCCATCACTCCACATAAATATTTTTTTAAAAAGGTTGCGGCATACCCTTTAAATGGATAAAAAACTCCATAGAAGCAAATACATCGACTGGGAAAAAGCACCAGCACACCAAACCAAACAAAATCTAGGAAAAACGCTGTGCAATTGCACGCGCGTGGTTAGGTTTTTTTTAAATAAGTTTTAACGAAAAGTCCACGGTACTGTTCATTTTAACGAAAAATCATATTTTTACATTAAAAGGTCAAACCTGATACTATTCACTTTACCTTTTATTTTGTCTTTATCATTAAAACTCAAAGTTTTCAAACCCCTTTCATTAGTTTTTTTTTTTTAATCTTTATCATTAAATAAAGTTATAGAATGATTTTTTTGTTAAAATTCAAAGTTTTCAAATTATTTTCATTAGTTTTTCTTTTATATGGAAGTTCTATTAAAAGGTGGGTGAGGAAGACCTAGTTTGGTACTGAGGTGATTCTGAAAAAAGCTGGTATCAAAAAAAGCTAGGAGCTGTTTTTGTGTTTGGTAAACATTCAGCTTCAGCTTTTTTTCACAGTTTTGGGTGAAAAAAAAAAACCAAAAACAAGAAGTTGCAAAACCAAGCTTTGAAAAACTGGCTTTTTTTCACATCTGTTTTACATAAAAGTTTACCAAACACTATAATACTGTTTTTTTTTTTCAAAAGCACTTTTACAAAAAAAGTTTACCAAACACTCTGCTGCTTTATTTCGCAGCTGCTTATTCTCACAGCACAGCAGAAACATCTTTTTTGCAAAGCACAGCAATACCAAACCAGCCAGAAGAGTGTTAAGAATAGTTCTCACCACACATGGCCACTTAGTAATTGGAATAAAATTGTAAATTTGAGTTTAGCGAAGTTAATTAGAATAATGTACTTTTTCATCTATTGTGTTTAAATTTGAATTATTTCGCATAATTTAGATTAACAAAAAAAAAATGAATAAATTAATTAGGAAAAACAAATAATTTTGTTTTTAAATACAAGTGATATCCCTACTTTAAACTACGTTAGCAATAAGTTTGAATCCAAAATAAAATGGGCGATAGAGTAAGATCCAACTACCCACCCGAGTAATCCAATACGTAACATATATAAATTTAGCCAACGTAAGCACATTAATCAGGAAGAAGTAAGGAATGATTCTTCCTTTTCTTTTTCCTCCTTTTGGTAAAGGAAAAGAACCTCCAACTACATTCTTGAACTCCAAGGACTTTTTCCAATGAGAGAACAAAGCATCTACCAACTCCATCATAAGAAACAAAGCATATAAAACATCTCTCTATTCGCCCTTCCTATAGGGCAGCCTTGATACAAATATGATTAGAAATAATGCCTTGACAATTAACAGTCTTAAAGTGGTTTATTGTGTTCACTTTAGTCTCAATTTTGCCCTATCATCATTTTTTGGTTTAATTATTTCTTCGGTTTGTTCACAGTGTAATATACTCATCTATTTGTTCTATTTTTTCACCCACCTATTAGTGTAATTATTCATGACAAATGCATATTAAGTGAACGGAAAAATAGAATAGGCAAGTATTGATGATAGCACTCACTAACAATCTAAAACATTACGTAAAGAGTGTTAAGGAGTTAATGAGTTAATATACGTTATCAAAGAATTGGAGATGTAAGGAGATTAAAAGAGAGCTAAAACAGACTATATTTGTGTTTAATCTCAATTTTCCCAAATTGTTTTCATGTTTTTAGTACCAAAAATAGAAGAGAAGCAACTAGCTTGTGCTGATAAACCTCATTTCGGCCTATCTAATCGGTGTTCGAACCGTCGCAACTTACTTCTTTGGTTGTTTCCATTGTTTAGATTTTGTTTGGTGCTGACCACGGATTTTAGTGTCGTATTCAATTTGAATTCTGAGAGATTTAAATTCTTTTAATGGATCTAAGGATATTCAATTAGGATTTTAAGTGAATTCAATCTGTATTCAACTAAAATTTTAAGATAGTTTATTTAAATTCTCATAGATCGGGTCTATTCAATTATGATTATAAAGAAGTTTATAATGTTTTAGGTATATTCAATTAGGAATTTATTTAAAATTTTTAAAAATTTGAGGAATTTGAGAGAATTGAAAAGATTTTTTAGTCTATTATAGGCATTCACAATCTCAACTCTTCCTCTAAGATTTCGAGATAATCGAATCAAAATTTTACATGAAATATCTACAAATCAATTAAACTTCATCAAAATTCCTAAATTTATAAATTTAATAAAACCTTCAAAATCTCAATTAAATACACCAACATTTATGAAATCAAGTACTAAATTTCAACCAAATATAATGCAACTTGTACCCGACATTATATAATTAAGGGTGATGAGAAGACCGGGTCTGACATTCAGGACAACCGTGTCCTTGTTTATCGGCGGAATTGTGTCCAAAATTTGTTTATGCACTATTGCATTTTACAACTGTTTTGCTTATTATATTTTTGAGTAAATTACAATGTACCACATCAAGTTTGAGGTCTATTATAACATCATACAACATTTTCAAAACATTTCACTTTCATACCTCAAGTACTATTTTATTTCAATATAATACATCCGTTATAGTTTCCATCCATTGTTCAGTTAAGAGTTAACGTGGCTGTCACATTTGTGTCATGTGGCAATTTTTTTTTTATATACATTTAAAAATAATTAATTAAAGAAAAGAAAAAAAAAATCCTAGAAACCCATCCCCGTAACCCTCCCTCACCCCTCTCCTTCACTCTCTTCACCTCCCCCAACCGATCCTTTCCCCTTCCCCGCAACCCAAACACACCCCCCCCCCCATCCCACCTCCCCCGCAACCCCCCACCCCACCCCACCTAGATTACCCAGATTTGTTCTAAAACAGATTACCCAGCTTTCCCATCAATTTTCCCTCGTTTTCTCGACAACCAAATAGTAAATAACTCCAAAAATTCAATGGATTCCAACCCCAATTTTCCAGAATCCGAACCCAAGAACAAAAATGTAGAAAATTCAAATTTTTGCAGAAGATTAAAACTTAAAAAATATGGACCCAATGCCAAACAACTCCTAGTCAATTACCCCACCCACCCTTTCTCCACCTTCTCCTCCACATCAAACTTCGTCTTCTCCTCCATGACGGTAAGGCCTCACCGGCTCCTGGCGCAATGGCCACTGTGGCTGTTGAAGCGAGGGCAACAGCGGAGACGTCAAGCTTGTCCTGGAGATAGTCGATGAGGATGCGAGCTTCCTCAAGGGTGAGGTTGGAGATGTCGGTGCCGAGCTTCTTGATCTTTTCTAGGGCTTCGACGGCGGTGAGGGGGCGGATGTGGGTGGTGTAGTGGGTGAGGGTAGGGGTTTGGGGGTTGAAGGGGAATTGGAGAGTGGGTTTAGTGGAGTGGGAGGGAAAGGAGGAGGTGATGCGTGTGGCGGGGCGGTGAAGAGGGAGGAGTGGGAGAGAGAAGGGAGGGGAGGTGAAGAAAGTGGAGGAGAAGTGGGTTGGGGAAGATGGGTTTGAGGGTTTTTTCATTTTTATTTTTTTTTAACTTTTCTTTAATTAATTATTTTTAAATTCATAATTTTTTTTTTTGCCACGTGGAACAAATGTCGTGACATCCCACATTGCCTAGGGGAGTGATCCATAAATGTATATTCTCATTCCTACCTAGCAATAGGCCTTTTGGGAGCTCACTGGCTTCGGGTTCCGTAGGAACTCCGAAGTTAAGCGAGAAGGGGATAATTTGGTATCAGAGCCTAACCCTGGTCGTGGTGTGCCGACGAGGACGTCGGGCCCCTAAGGGGGGAGTGGATTGTGACATCCCACATCGCCCAGGGGAGTGATCCATAAATGTATATTTTCATCCCTACCTAGCACGAGGCCTTTTGGGAGCTCACTGGTTTCGGGTTCCGTAGGAACTCCGAAGTTAAGCGAGAAAGGGGCTTGAGCAATCCCATGATGGGTGACCCACTGGGAAGTCGCTCGTGAGTTCCCAAAAACAAAACCGTGAGGGAATGGTAAGCTCAAAGCAGACAATATCGTGCTACAGTGGTGGAGCGGGCCCGGGAAGTGATCTGCCCCAGGCGGGGATGTGACAAATGTGGCAGCCACATCAGCTCTTAATGGAACAATAGATGAGAAATGTAACGGATGTATTATATTAAAATAAAATAGTACTCGAGGTATGAAAGTAAAATATTTTGAAGATGTTGTATAAGGTTGTAATAGACCTCAAACCTAAGGTAGTATAGTGTAATTTACCTTATATTTTTTTCACTACATTTTTTTTATCAAACAGTATGTTTTGTTAGATTAGACACCGATGAATTTTGAACTCACGTTATCATGTAAGAACTCAATACATTTCTACCACTGCAGTAAAGATTACTCACAAACTTTTTCACTAGATTACTAATTTCAAAAATGGAAAGAGATCTTCTCCGAATCTTTCCCACGAAAGCCCCTGGATCAAGTGATATGGCCCTTTGAAATTTAATCCAACAGCCCACTTATTTTGATCCCTTAAAAATTATAATAATTTTTTATCGTTGAATCAAATTTTAAAAACCCGGATCACTTGATCCAAGGCCTTTGGTGGGAGAGATCCGGAGAGATCACTTTCCTTAAAAAATTACCCATAATTGCAATTTCCCATACATGTATTTTTTTTTTAAGAATCAAAATTTGGACACGTATTCAACCAGAATTGGGTGTAAGCAAAAGCTGTTGTTGAATTTGCAGCAGCCAAATCCAGTTTTTTTTTAAAATCCCTTTTAGCTGCTTTGATTTGGGAAATAAATTAATATTATAGGAAGCTTTTGTTTGGTAATTTCTAAATAGTTTGGTGTAGTGGATTTTGCAAAATAATATAAAGAAAAAGTATTAATACAAAGAAATGCACCAAATAAATATAAAGAAAGCATATCACATGATTGATCTTTTGGGATCTGTCAATCTAAGAAGTCCAAAATCAACTTTTTTTTTTTTAAGTTTAAAGTTCAAAATCATTGCCAGAATCTAAACCATCGAGATTGAAACTTGATTTGATTTTTTAATTATGAGCGAGATTTTGCACTGATTTACTTTAAAAAGATGAGAGATGTCAAGTACTTTTTTTTATTTTTTATCAAATGATAATTTTTGTTATATTTAGATATAAAATTAATCACTAAAGAGTTAAATATTTCAATACGAAATGATACTTTAAACACATATTTTGTGAATTAAAGAGAAAGAAATTAGTCACCAGATCGATTCACCGCTTGCTAAACATCGATTAATGTGGCAATAAGGTGAGGTGTGAGCATGTAATATTACTTCTTTTTTACCCTTTTTCTTTTTGTAAATTGGAATTGTTTTCATATTTGTATGAGTAGGTGAGACTGAAATTGAACAAGACAAACTTGTTCAGGGAAAGATTAAAATTCAAGAAAAGCAGTGAAATCAGGTACCTCAGAATCTCAGATCTAAACACAACACAACCAGGCAGCAACCAGCTTGATACTAACACTGCAACCACACCACACACCCACCAGTCTCTCCCTCTCTCTCTCTCTACCCTCCCTCTCTCTCTTCCCCTTCCATTGATAATACTTCTCCATTTTTGACTATTGTCTTCTTGGTTGAACACGTTAGCTCTGATTTCTCTGCCATATTCCCCACATGCCCTCAGACCTTCCTCCACCCTTGTTGCATAAAACTTCCCTTTTTCTCCTTTTCCACTTATATATCAGGATAGCAGTTTACTACAGAAAGATCTGGGTGTTCATATCTAGGGTCTGAGGATCATAATCTCATCTGGGTACCAATAATTTCAGGATTTTGTTGAAATTTAGCCAAAAGGGTGTCCAAAAATTCTTCAAATCTGCCCAAATTTTGGGGCTTTTTATGATCTTGAGGTTCTCTGCAAAGAAGAAGAAAATGGTAGTGGCAGGAAATGGTCTGTTCTACCCAATTCTCGGATTCGTGTCCTGTGTGGCCTTCATCTACATGTCTTTCGGTAACTTGGGTTCTAATGTTGGCGACGAAAAGAAGTTGAGTTTTGTGGGGAGGAATGGGACTCAGTTCATGTTGGATGGCAAGGCATTTTACATTAATGGGTGGAATTCTTACTGGTTGATGGATCAAAGTGTGGATGAGTATAGAAAGCCGAGGGTCCGGAAAATTCTGCAAGCCGGTGCGAAAATGGGCCTTACCGTCTGCCGGACTTGGGCGTTTAACGACGGCGAGTACAATGCCCTCCAGATTTCCCCTGGTCACTTCAATGAGGAAGTTTTCAAGGTATTATTCATAATCCATGTACTTTCCATTTATTTTGTTTTATATTGCAAATGTTGATAGCTGTTATGTGGGAAACCTTTGCCTTAGGAGTTCATTGAACATAAATTTCGAAACTTTGTTTAATGCGATCGAGTTCTGACCTTTCTCTGTGTACTTGTTTGGGTGCTTCAATTTGGGGTTTACCTAAGTGGTGATCATGTTTTGCCATATCTATACATGAATGTATTATCAGTGAAGGTTTGCAACTGAAGTAGTAAAATTACAGTTCCATATAACTAAGACGGTAAATGATCATTTTTTGCCCAAACTAAATGCAGGTCAGGTCCGGTGATTCCTTATTAAGAGATTATCTTGCTTTCTGAAAGTGGGAATAACATAACAAGAGGGTTGGGACAAAGTTTTATATGTTTTGATACTGATTAATGCGTTCATGAATGTAGCACAATTGGAAGATCATCAAGTCATGTTTAGGGGTTTCTTAACAATAGAGACATAACACGAAATGTTTTGGACAATAATGTAGTAAAATTTACGTATGCTTTCTGCCATATTTTTTCAACTTCTCGGCTTGCACCTAATGAATAATATAGTGGAATTCTCTACATGTTCTATTATTGCTGTTCATAATACGTTTTTAAGCCAGGCTAATTGAAAGTGTCCACGCTATGTGGCATGTACCTATGAATACCATTTATTTTTTACCATTATTTTTGTTATCTTTAGAAGTACCATTTGTTAATGATCTTTCTCCATATTTTTGTTCTTTGTTATAACAATTTAATTTGGTGACAGGCTTTGGATCATGTCATTGTAGAAGCTAGACAACAGGGAATCAGGCTGCTCCTTTGCTTAGTTAATAACTTGCAAGCATATGGCGGGAAGACTCAGTATGTAAAGTGGGCTTGGGAAGAAGGTGTTGGTTTGAGCGCTTCCAATGATTCCTTTTTTTTCGATCCATCCATTCGCAATTATTTCAAGAACTACGTCAAGGTAATTTTGTTTGTTGCTTTACTTCGCAGGAACAAAATGTTGCACTGCTCTTTGATGATACTTTGATAGCTCAGAGCATCTCCAATGAGCTCCCTAAATGAGCTCCTAACTAGAATTTAGGGAGGATTTCAAAAAAATCAACTCCAATTATGCTCCCTATCCACCTCCTAAGATAGGGATTCATCTAGGAGTTCCTAAATATAGGGAGGGAGAAAGGAGCTCGTAGTGGCTCTCTATAATTAATGCTAATTGTTTTAAATAAATAATTAATTCCTATTGGCTAATTATTGACTCTTAGTCATTTTAAGTTATAACTCTCTAAACCAGGGAGTAAGGTTGGAGTACACTTTTTTAGAGAGCTCCTAAAATAACATTTTGGCAGTTTTAGCACGATTGGAGATGCTCTCATAATCTTAGATTTTCTTGTTGATGAGTAGAAAACTATTAATAGTATGCTATTGTTACATTTATTATATTTTGAAATGAAGAAACAAAATATGGTATGAGGTTAAACTTTGGGAGTCCCAATATTTCATAGGATACTTTAGTTCGCCCAGAAGTATTTATGTTGCCATGAAGGCAGGGGATGGGGACAAAGTTTTGCTGCCAAGATGACATACTAAACACTACTAGGTTTACTTGCTGAACATTTGGTCACACATAATGTAACGTAAGCTTTTTGCTACTAGGCATAACAAGTAAGGCTGCAAAACCTCTGAATATCATGATCAATTGGAAAGATTGTACTAAATCTCTAATTGGATCTCATACAGAGTCATTTGGTTAGAAGGACTTGAAATATCTTTCATTCGTTGACCTTTCTAACTTTCTTATCCTTCCCTTTCCCCTGTTCCTACTAAGATACAAATGGAAGGATCTATCTGAGTGCCATATTTTTTCACTCATGATCACATGACGTTGAGGAAAATTATGAATTTTAAGGCACCGGACCATTAACAGGATTGTGGCATTTAAGATTTATGAGATACAGTTGATGTCTCTGGATTTTGGTAGCCATTTGTAAATATAACATTATGGAGGGCATGTTTAACTATTGTGGATTCTAAAGTGTTTGATTGTTATGAGTTAAATGATTTTGTACCTTGCTGGTATCCTGAATAGGCCATTACTTCTCCTTCAGTGATTTGTTTCTCTGAAATAACAGAAACCCCAAGAATCTTTGTTTTAATCAATTTTGGTGCTGTGATGATTTATAAGTTTATAACCGATTCTAATTCATTTCCTTTTTTCCTCCAGACTAT